GAAAAGCAAATCCTCCATAAGGACCCTTTCATTACCCGCGGATCATAACCGCATTATTGTTGCAATATGCATTAACCCTTATTATGCGTTACTCCTTTTCTTCTCCTGGCATTGGAATGATGGGTGCACTATTATGACTGGGCTCCAAAACGAAATATGACAAAAACATGTTTTCTGACCTCGATACTCTATGTCAATAAACCGTTTTGGTAAGTGACGTTCAGATGAATACAAAAGTCTCAATTGTACTAAATATTGCGAAATATTGCAAAATTAGGAAGAAAAAATCCCAACCTGTATTAATAGCATGTTCCGATTTCTTTCAATAACTCTGGATCTGCTAAGTAAATAAAAGCGAAGAATTGACGAGAAAAAAGAGAAAAACGAAACATAAGCGAAAGACCTAGGCTGCTCACAAACGATAATTATGCTCCTATAGTATGTCCTTTCAGTACAATATCAGGTTGATTTGTAAACGTCATTGCGCTTTCTGAGGTCTGGAAAGGTCTGAGGTCCAAAATGTTATTCCGTATAATATAATCGTTATATATATTCTGTTGTGACTTGTCATTTGTTATTCTTAAACCGATGGAAGAAGGATCTTTTTTTTAAGACGGGTGAATCAATAAATTCATTTTTGTTGTAATGATCTCTTTGGTCATATAACAGGGTGTAATAACATAACAGAACTGTAATAACTCCATTTGTTGCCCATGTGTGAAAGTGTTGTTTTCAAAGTTATCTTACTTTTGTTTCATTGTGTCCATGGCTCTGCTCCGCAGGACAATATTACTTCGATAAAACACTACATTCCGTCAAGATATTTACGCTCTTAAACTTCAGTATTTATTGCTCTTCCTAATCTCAATAATAGGTGGGGGGAATTATTTTTGCTCGTCCAAGGCCTTTGCTGTTAGATCCTCTTTTTCAGTTGAAATTGTCATGATATTTTTGTATCTAACTTCTGTTCATTTGTTTATATTGCAGATTCTTTTACATGATCTCTTTTTGGTTTTGTTCTTGTTTCAGTGCGCCTTGAGCAATTTATTTCAAATGGATTCAGTGCGTTACAAATCTCATTATTATCATTATTATTATTACTAGGCCTGTTTATGCAGAAACCTACATTTTATAATTTTTCAAATATATACATGCTATTATATCCCTTATCGTAAGATTGTTGCATTAGGAGTGTACACAACAAGAAAAAGAATAGTTTTACTATAAAAGACGTTTCATGCCGATTACTTTGGAATAGTCTATTTTGTATTGCTGAGGTCATGAATAGTTCACATTTTCCCGGTAAAAATGAACTGTTCATCCCCCCCCCCCAAAAAAAAAAAAAAAAAAAAAACTGGCAAAATTCAGCTTAGGACATCATGTTCCTTCGATGCGAATAGTTTCAGTTAGGATCCTCGAGTGTCATTGTGTATGTGTATAATAGCTTTTGTCAGAAGCCTCCGGATATTAATACAAAATAATCGTAAATTGCATGTAGGCCTATCTATAAGCCGATCAATGATGTACAGTCATTCCAAAGCAGGTTACTTTGTGCTGTCAATTACACTTAACAATTAATAGATCTTTTAAAAATCGTACAGCAAAGCTCACTTGAGTGTACCGGAATGCCACATTTGGTTAAATTATCGCTTCATTCAATATTTAAAACATATATGCGCATATCGAGCTAAAATTACGCCCAGATCATGCAGTGGTTAAATGCATGCAGGGCAACACAATGACTCCAACCAGACTGACAAGCAGGGGCGGCGATTTCTTTTGATGACCGGGGGACGAAATGCGAGAGACTAGTGGCGTAATGAGCAAAAACTTTTTTTTTTTGGGGGGGGGGATGGGGGAGCCGCATCATCACAACCCTTATATGTTACATGCATGCCCCGCAGAACATATTTCAAAGAGGGGGGTGACTAAATGACCAGGTAGAGCGTAGTGAGCGAAGCGAATGGAGCCTAAATTTGTCAGTTGAGCATATTTTGATACCTTATTGTAACACTGCCAGGTCACTAATTGGCGTGGGTTCCAGGGTGCGGAGCCCCTAAACCTTAGAGGTTTTAAGACGTTGAATTACTAAACTAGGCGTTGTGGCGTGCGCCTGTAATCCAGCTTAAGTGGAAGTTACAAACTGATTCAGCCGAGTACGCAGGTTCGAAACTAAGTCACGTCTTTTGGATGGTGACGTTTTAACAGTCGGTCCCCAGACGTAAATAATCATATCTGATTGATACAGGTCTGTAAAAAGCCAATACACACATACACGTTAAATTACTGTCAAATGAACATCCAGGAGCCCGCCTTGGGGCCCTTGGTGGGGTCCATGGGGCACTGAGCCTCGGAAGCTCGGGGGTTTTAGACATCGAATTACGGTGAGATGAGCATCCAGGGGCCTGCCTTGGTGGGGTCCATGGGGCAGAGCCTCGGAAGCTCAGGGGTTTTAGGCATCGAATTACGGTAAGATGAGCATCCAGGGGCCTGCCTTGGGGCCCTTGGTGGGGTCCATGGGGCAGAGCCTCGGAAGCTCAGGGGTTTTAGGCATCGAATTACGGTGAGATGAGCATCCAGGGGCCCGCCTTAGAACCTTTAGTTGGATCCAAGGGGAAGATCGAGCCCCCGGAAGTTAAGAGGTTTAAGACATTTAATTACGGTCAGATGAGCATCCAGAGACTCACCTTAGAGCCCCTTATTTCTATCTTTTTTCCTTTCTTTCTATTTCCCTTCAACATACTTTTTTCAAAAAAGTGAGGGGGCCAGGGAGGGATGGGGGGAGGGGGCGACTTGCGCTCAAAAGTTCAAAATTATTAAATGAAACAGGAAGCTACTGGAAAGAAAAAAAAAACATGTTTGAAATCATTAAAATCCAAGAAACCGTCACCTAACATATGGTGAACGAGGTGGTATGATGAAACATACATTTTCACTATTAAAAAATGATGCCTCAAAATTGTTGCCCGCTCGCCCAATTTAGAAACTATATTTCTTATAAATTTGCAAGAGAAGACAGCCCCATGCCTTTGAAAATGAGCCTACATATTTCACATTTTCTATCTTGAAGTTAGAAAAAAATTCAATTTATTTTGACTGATAAGAAATAGATTTTAAACTTTCTTAACTTTCACACACCTTTCAAAAAATATTTATCCCTCATTGGGTAACTCTTAGAGTTCTCAAGTTTGTATTATTATTTTCTGTCCAAATAATATGAGTTTCAAATAGAGCCCTTATAGAAATGCAGCTTCCTAAAATCATTTGTTATTATATTATCATGATGTTCTTTCAACTGGAATACGATGTCACGAAAAGTTCACGGAGCGAAAGCTATACTTTTATATGACTGTGGCACATCTACATTATCATTAAAAACTTTAATATATATATTCAACAAGATAACGCCATGTGACCTCACATAATCCTAATTTTTTTAATTTTCTGTTCTTACGATCCATCTCTGACTACATCTCTCCTTCTCTTGCTCCTTTCTCTCATCAAGCTCAACAAATCTCTTCTTGAAATAATATTATTGATCCCATAGACCCTCCGTTGCTCTTTCTGTTATCATGGCTTTTTAGTTTTGCCTCTCCTCTAATTCCCTTTACAACTGTCTCTCTGTCTTCTTTCTATTGATATTAAGTTAAAACGCAAGGCGTATTAGCAAAATACGAAAATTAAAAAGATATACTTAGATTATGAGTTGACTTTATTGTGCAATGCATCATCGTTTGAAAATTAAATGCAAATATATAAGGTTTATTCAGTGGCACAGAAACAAAACAGCACATGTTTGCGTTTGCATACATACATTTATATACATCATTAGACGGACATAATGTAGTGACAAAAATGAATCATTAAGTAGACATGGTCATTAGCAGGATATTTTCGTGTCCTGTTAGTGATTGTACAATAGAATTACTGCCCTCTACGTACGTTTGCAGGCAGAGAAAACTTAAAGGTCTCCCATGAAACAATAGGTTTAATCATGAGTCATTAGTTTAATTAGTTATAAAGTTTTTAATCTAGGGTTATGTTTAGGACAATATACCAGTCTTTATGATGTCCTGTTAATGTACAATTTAGGGTTAAATATAGATGTCCTGTTAATACATGTAAGGTTATATATATATATACATATACATGTATATTTCATATCATCATTTTCTGAATTGATCATAGCTTCTGCACAATAAGGCTAACATTATTATTTAACAAATCGATATCCAAAACTTTTTTTGATTCTTTGCAATTCTTTTGAGTTGTGAAAGTCTTCTCAACCTAGATAAGAAAATAATAAATATATATATATATACCGTCATGACCATAATAAATTGTGAAGAACGGGAAATATATCAAGTATGTGGTAACTAACATCTGTGCAACATGCAGGTATACAAGCCAAGTCATTGTAATCTTGTGGACTTTTATTAAATATTGAGGACAGGTACAGAAGCTTTTTTGTTTTCGTATATTCAGTTGTTTTGTGTTAATGCGCATATAACATGCATAAATTTGCATATATTTACATACATTTACATATATTTACAGCATTTATTCAACTTATACGGTATAAAGTGGAGCATTCGATTCATTTTCCGTAAAAAAATGTAAAATGTTATCGTTTTAGATTGGCTTTATTCTACCTCTTTTTATCATTTTCTTTTCTACAATTTTTAACTTTCCATTCAAGTATTGAGATTGTATGAAAATCAACATGTTTTCGTAATTCTTTCCTATTTTAAACTTGTGTGTGAGAGAGCACGCACGTAGTTAAGACGAATTGAGAACAGTCCAGGACTATTTTGGTGGTACCTTAAAGACCGGCAATACTACTGAGCTAGAAGGGATTAGACCACACAGCGAGGTCACTGACAGGTGGCTATCTCATTAACTCAGCTCTCAACTAACATAAGAAAAAGAGGATCATGGGGGACCAACAGGCACCGATTGGGGAAGTTTTCTATATAGAGGGAGCAAGTAGCTACGAGTAGGACAGTGGGGCTTTAAAGAGTTCGACGGTACTTAATACAAAACAAATTGGCAGAAGGCATACAATTTTACAGACTAAGAAGGTGGAGAGATTAAGAACATTGGGCCTGAGCCAGTGTTCGAGAACACTTGATCTGCTAACAGTTTATTCCCGAGAATGTCAGATGTCTATCTCTCGTTTGTATGAGCCTTTTTATTTGGGTCTCGATTGTTCGAGAAAAGAACGTCTGATCATGGCCAGTAAAATCCATGGTCTGATAAAGACTGTTCAGTGATTAATCCCTAGATGACAGGTTCTTGAGTAGTATTCATTGAATAGTCACTATGTGACATTTGTGTTTAATGCAGTCATCAGCTTGTTTGAAGCTCATATAAAGCTTTATTTAGCATGTTGCATGAAAAGGGCTTTGATGGGACTATTATGTATTTTTGTTGCGCGTCCATGTTGTAGCCCTGCTGAATTTTCATTCAACGTGTTCATTTAATGACCCATAATGCACATTTCCATTAGGCCCCTTTCAGCTATTTTGTAGCTCCCCCAAAGTTCAATGAAGCATTTTAGATAAGAATGACCTAAGATGCAGATGTTTTCATCTTGCATTTTTCTGGTGCGTCCATGTTGTAGTTCCTCTGAAGTTAGAAACATCGTGTTCATTAAATGACCTATTATGTTCGGAGCTTGTTATATAATGTTGTTGTCACCCATTGTGTAGCTCCTCTAAAATTCCATAACGCAAATGCATGAATCACTTAAGATACGATGTTCTTGTGTAATTGTTCATTTTTCTGGTGCACTCTTGTTCTAGCCCCCCTGTAGCTTCTTTGAGGGTCTTTAGTGAATGATCTTACACCAACAGTTGTCATATTATGTGGTTGTAAGCCATTTTGTAGGACTTCTCTGAAGTTCCATTGCGCATGTTGCTAGATCGACCTACGTTTTCGTACACGTCGTTTCCGTCGATGTCGAAACCCCTCTGAACGGTACGGAAGTCCACGGGATGGAGCATGAGAATGACAATGCCGTCTGCCTTCTTGATCATCTCCCATACCTATCAATTGGAAGAGGGAATTAGTTAACAATCTTACATCAACAGGACGCAGGATGGCTTTGTTATGGAGCTGTAAATTAGTAATCGAGAAGTCCCGAGTTTTAAAGTAAGCCGTTGCACTAGTAAACTTTGGTAAGGCAATTTTGTTATTACCAAGACGGAGACGACTTAAAGCCGCCGGTCCCGTGGTCGTGTGATGACAATCATACACATGCTTTGTTTGGCAGCCAGCCGGTAAAACATACCAATCAAAAGACGTTAAAAAACCGCTATACCACAAAATAATCTAATGTACGAAAGCTTATTTTCTCTTGTGCCGCCAAAATCTTTAATTGATCTGGTACAATTCTTGTTATTTCCTAAAATGAACGTTTTTCTCGTTTTCTCATCTGGTTATTAATTGACATAATATTATTGTTTACATCACCAGAAATAACTCTCGAATATACCTTTCATCGACATGACTTTATGACCCTCTGCTTCTGTTATATTTGTTATATGAGTGACCCAATGGTCAAGTGGAGGCGATCTTATCAGATCTGCCTACCTGTTCCGTGGATGCATCGGGGTGGACGCAGTCAAAGTTGACTTCAGTGATGACGCAGTTGCATCTCAAGCCTGCACTGTTCAGACACGCGATATCGTTTGACTGTAGAGATCCTCTGCAATGAGCCAGACCCTTCGGAGATACCTGCTCAATCTGAAATGAGGATTTAAAAATTTAAAAAAATGACATCAAATTTTGGTAAATTTGTCTGTGGACTATGTGCAGGGGTCTCACCATTCACAAATGATGTCGGTTAAATTCTAAATACTTTTCTTCATTTTTTTCTTCTACAAACCTGTCATGCCTGTCGGCAAGTAGGGATCACATGGGGTTGTTGCTTTGAAAGTGTGAAACGGAGGCACTTACCAAAATTATTCAGAAAATGGGACCCCTTTGACGATTAATTACATTTTGTTTATCGATGCATCAGTAAACTCCTTGGTCAGCCAAGAAAATATTTCATTAAAATAAACAATCGGCCAAAACCATATAAAATATTATTCCTAGTTTCTCGTCCAGATTTTTTTATGAGGAAGAGGAGCTTCCACTATTTATGTTCTTTACATAAGCTAATTATACCGTCGCATCACGTATACAAAATTTTGTGTACAGATATTAGATTTACTGTATATATGAACTATAGTGGCTCAAAACAAAGTGATAGTGTGATATAAAAAATGTTTGTGAACCTCATTGTCTAGATTTTCTTTTATTATTCAAAAACAAAAACATAAAATAGAAAAATGAGACGGTTGACAAAGTATACGAGAGGGGGAGGGATGTCAGATAAACTAGATTTGTTTAAGATTCGGCCTAATGTTTCAACCAACTGAACATGCTCACTAGAGGCCTGCGTATGGCTTACCTCGTTTCCGCGGAGTTTCAGCCCTATGTCGTCAACATTATTTGAAGTCCATGGGAAGTCACAGATTGCTCCAAACGGGATTCTCTTTAGCGTGATCTCGATCTGCAAAAGAGCAAACATTAGAACATTTTGTTGTCTTGGACCTAGATCGTTCGGCCCTCGGGAGGACATCGATCCGTAAGTTTCCTCCACACTGTGTTCTGCTTAGATTTTCCTCTTTTTTCGATTCCATCTTGTATTTTATCTTTTAGGTCATAATCTAGTTATATGAAGTTCGTTTCATAAAATGTAGAATTTGTGCATGAACTATATGAATATGACATAAATCCAATAATTTACGTTAAACATTTAACAATTCTGCCGAAAAGTCGTGCCATTAGTATATATGTCACTAAACTAAATCAAAGAAAAGGCAAATGAGTCAGTATCTTTAACACGATTAACTTAGACGTCCTTCATTAAAGATTTATTGTGCTGACGAATGATCATACTGATGTATTAATATGCAATATTTTGTGGAAAACATTCTCATTTTCTCATCTTACACATTGATGCAGGATTTAGCACAAAAGATTACCTCCGGTTTGTCTGACATTCGAACACAGTCTCGGGCAAAGTGGACGTTTTTCAGCATATTATCATTGACCTTCAACCACTGGTCACCTACCCGGAAGTAATCCTTGAGTTCGAGAGGAATATCCATAACTCTGACAAGGGTGAAGAAAAAAGAAATAATTAATTTCAGTTAAAAGACGAGGAAGTCAAGTTCTGTCAATGGAAACGATAGGGGATAAAAATGAAACGGGAGGGGAAAAAAAGCAAGAATAGGGAGAAAGGCAAACGGAGAATTGGACCCCACCACCACCAAAAAAAATCCTAATAATACTGTAATAATAACAATAAATATTAAGCTATACTCACAAAATACTGTCTCTGATTTCTTTGAGCGATAGCTGTGACAAGTTCCGAACGATGATAGTTTTGGCGACACGTACTGTAGCCGTCGACGATAGCTTCTCCTCTTTAAGTTTCCTATACAAAAGAAATTAGATGTCATTACATAAGTAATAATACTTAGAAACCTCCAATGTAATTAAGATTCCGATCGTTTTTTTTTTCTTAACTGCCAACAGACGAAATATATTGTACGAGTTGTATATTAATTGATGGTAAAGTTGATTAAAGTAATGAGGAATAATATTGCTTTAAGCGCACTGTACAACATACATTTTTGAAGGAAATAGTCGATATGCATAATGCCTTCTTTATTTATTTGAAAATAATCTCAAATTATATCAGTGGCAAAGAAAGGAAGCATTATTATCATCTCATTCAATCGGAAGTGACGAAGCATCTCAAAGATTTTAGACCTCATAATTATATTCAACACGTTCACGATGTATATCCTGTAAAAGTTATTGCTTAGTTACTGTACATAATAACTAAATCGAATATATAAATTATCCGTATTGTTTTTTAAACCGACTTTTCAGCTTGTTCAAATCAGAAATACATTTGCCATGTAAATTCTGAAGAAATTGACCTTATCTCCTTTGGCTCTTACTTGCACTGTATTTCAATCATCGTGGCTTTAAACTGTTGGAGATGGGGATTAACGTCATCCCATATAAAGCCTGATCGTGATGGTTTTGTGGTTCTAGAGTCAGTTCTGGGCCGTCTCTGAATGACGGACGTATTTTCATAGATCTGTTCATCCAGCCACAAACCAGCCTCGGGTTCCTTTTGGTGTGGAAATCTTCCTCCTGGCAGTTCTCTTGAACATGTTTGTAAGCTTGGAGGGTTTATCTCAGAACATTCGGGCTCTGAATCATCCGATGGTGTAGGACTTGGTGGCCAACTGCTCTCTGTTGGTTCTTTACAGCTGTGAAGACTCTGAGGAGCTGACATGACCGAAGCACCTCCTTCGGATTCTCCGGACGAAGTACTGCAGCCGGAGAGACGGTTAAAACTTTCGGGTAAGGGATCCCATGGAAATTCTGGAATCTCGTACAGGTTCTCAAACTGGTCAGGCTTTTCCTGAAAAATGAATTTCGATAAAGACCACTGGTTATATTGTCAGTTGATAACTTTACCGTGTGTTGAAAAAACAAATAATAACTTCATACCTTTAGGGAACTTATTTTACAAGGCCTTTTGGCCTTATTTTAGTTCCCCTTTTCTTGTTTCGACTGGTAAATTTGGTCTCTTTTGATACTGTTAACACGTATGATTGCATGTATTTAAAAATTTATTATAATATTGTAATGATCTATTGCTTTTATATGAAGATGGAAATAAATAAACAAATGAAATGAATGAAAGCTTTGTTTAAGTTGCTTTTGCTGTCATACTGTTTCAGATCTGATGGCGTGTTTCTTAGCACACCTTGGCCCTGTCTTATAAAGAGTTGATATTAATCGCAAATTACTTGCGATTGATATAAATTGCAATTATGTACATGCATGAGAGATAGGAGATGGCAAACTTGCAATTGATCGGAGGACTTGCGATTGATCGGAGGACTTGCGATTGATTAGGATCAATCGCAACTCTTTATGAGACGAGACTCAAGACATCACATATTGCACGATCAGTACAATGTGACTCGTATGGTTACATTAAGCTTTCTATCTATCTATCATTGCAAATATGTCAATTTAGACACAGTCTAAGACACATCTCAAGAAGGTCGTAACAAGAACATACTGCAAAGGGCAGTAACGGGCAGCTGACGATTTATTAACCCCATATTTAATAGTTTACTAGCATTTGTAAAATGTCTCTCTTGATGAATGGCTCACAACGCTCGTCAGGAGAATCGACGATAATAATTATGATGAGAAAGGTACTGACCTGAAGCATTTTTGTCTGATGGAAATCTTGGTACAGTTCTTGTGTCTTTTTGAGGGCCTGCTTGGAGGTTTGCTGCTGTCTACGCCAACCATCCTCATTCTGAACATTATGAACGTTCTCGTATGTATCCTGACAGCTGGCTGTATGTACGATAATCAAAATTTCCAAACAATAAATTATATTATTTTTATGCGCTATAACAACGTAAACAAAAACATTATTTGAAATCTAAAAACTTTATTTTAAATACAGATCAAAGTAACTTTTCTGTCTACATACCTAACTTCTGGTGGAACATACCAGACGTCCGTGTATTTTATAAGACAATAGTTACATGTATTGGGACCTGTGCTCGAAACCGGCTAATTATTGTTTCTTAAAAGCGCTTTACGAGTTACGATCAACCGAATTTGCGCTTAGGCCAAATAAAAATATTAAAAAATCATGTTTAGCGTCCTGTTTTTTTGAAAAATAGGAAGGAGGAGGCCCTTTTTCTTTTTTTTTTTCCTTTCAAAATGGCCGCTCGGTACATTTTCCCTGACAGTCGGGCTATCTTTCAAGATTGCCGCCGTTCAGCTGGTCACCTTTTCACAGGCGCGCACATGCTTATATCTAATAAACACATTGACCTTCGTTATCCTACGAAAGAAAATGCAATAAATTTTCAATAATTCATTGAATTTCACCCCGGTCGCCAACAGAAAAAAATCTTCTGTGTGCCCATGCCTTGAGCCATAATGCATGGTCGTACAGAGGATCTTTTAATGTTGGGGACCGGGGTAAAATGCAATGAATTATTGAAAAATGATTGCATTTTCTTTTCGTTTGTTTGTGGGAACTGCCCCCTACCCTAGCCTCCGCTGCGTACAGTCATGGTTCAGTGGCCAAGCAATGGCCTCGTAACTGTGAGGCCCCAGGATCAAAACCGTGTCGATGTGCCATATTAGTGCCCTTTTGTGGAGCATTAATCCTCATTACTGTCATTTATGACTTAAGGGCGTAGGTCCCCAAGTTGATAAGCGTAGCATACACATGCTTTAGCAGTCACGCAAAACAAACACTGGCAAATTATTATTCAATAAAATCTGAGATTGTATACTATTTTCTAGATCTATTGGGAATAAATCATTGTCAAAATAATTCCTTAAATTGGGGTAAAAAAAATATTCCAACTATATGAGCGACAGTGTAGTAAGTGGTTGAGAGAAAATAACCCAAATGTTGGACAAAAATGGCCCAACTTTAATTTGCCCAATAATATTGCCCAATTATTTCGTCAGTAACTACATCGTTGGTAGAAAATAACCCAATTATTGGACAACGTTTGCCCAACATCGATTTTTCCCAGTAACATCTACCTAACCTATTCTTACCTTTTATTAGGTAACTTCATATAGTAAATGGTAGGGAGAAAATAACCCAATTATCGGACAAAATTTGCCCTAATTCGATTTACCCAGTAGCATCTGCCCAACTTTTTTTACAGTGTATAAAGTGTTTTTTTTAATTTTTTTAAATAAAGATAAACTTAATTCATCATTCCCGCTTTATTTACAGCATTTTAAAGAACCAACAAATCCTCAAATCTCATGAATTTTTGTTGAATTAAAAATAAGGATCGTTTTTTTATTATCATTTGAGTATTTCAACAAAATCAATTTTATCCATTATTTTGGAAGCTAACTCTGGTCCAATATTAGTAAAGTCTTTATTGAATGCATCAGCAACAACGTTAGGATCTTGGATATGATGCCCTTTGTATTTAAATTCAATGTTATTAAGAATTTGCTTTTTCTTCCCTAAAAACGTCATTAATTGTTTGCCATAATGATTGATTGATTGATCTTTAATATTTTCAATTATATTACAATACTAGAATTAGCGTGACAAACGAATAATTAAAGTCAATTTATCACGGTACTTTTTATATTCATTTCGGTTTTCATTTGTAGTTGATCGAAGTGATATTTAAGATAAACGAATTCGAGTAGATATTGATTTAATTATCCTTCAGTAATCTATGGTCGTTTATTTCTCTTTTTACTTGATTTAGTTCTTGTGCGTGGCACATTTTGTATCATAATAATAAGGAAGTTTTTTTATAATTTTTGTCAAATGAACTGTTCACATCTCTTTCAAATATATATCATGCCATCCATCATACCGTCGTGCGACGCCCCAGCCTCCACGTGATGACGTCCACAGCAGACTTGGCTGTCGTCAGTCTCCTCATTAGGTTCTGATGTATTGCCCCTCTTCTATACGATATAATGAAAAGAGGAGTATGAGGGAGAAGATATACACTAAGCCGATTTCGCTAACAAAACAAAAAATATCAATTAATAGATAAATAGCTAAATACTTAAATGAAAAAAATATGTAGATAAACACGATTGTTTTAAAGGATAGGAAAGATCAGAAAAATCAATTTTATTATCTTTTTAATGAAAGGTTTCATGTTTATTCTAAGACGGCAGACAGAAGACATAAGGCCTAAGATATTTCTTCACGTGCACGTTCTTGCCTAGAGGGTATCTTTACCTATAGCAGTCGACTTTTTTCATGATTCAATAACAGAAGGAGTTAGGACTAACCTTAACGACTTTGTCTAGCTCATCGTGAAAGATCCCATGCATGTTGCCAGGTGCTGTGATGGGGGCTCCTTTCCGAGTACGAGACACGGGCGGTCTATGGGAGGAAGCATCTGTTTGTGTTCTCTCTCGATAGGGCTGCAATGGCTGCGATGGCTGTTGGTTGGGTGTGGTTTTGATGGACATCAAGGCCTGTAGTTGGCTGCACCACTCGTCCCTCTGCTCCCTGCGTAAATCGGTAGAACGGTTGGGAAAATGTTCTTTAATGACGTTCTTAGTCTCGAACAGCTTGAAAATTCATGATGCGAATGAGGCTTTCTTTAAGCTATCAATTACTGGGTGTTGATCTTTTTTCTTCAAAATAATGAATTTAAATACTCCTGTTTTACGCCCTTTATGGGAATTAATAAATTAATTCCTCTGCCACCATGACAATCACCTCTACTACTTTAACCTCTCCTATCACTCATCATCATTTCCAAATGAAATTATTTTCTTTTTCAATCAAATTCAGACTTGCTACTGCAAGTGCTAGATTGTTTGCAATAACAGTAAACTTCTTCCGTCTACTGCTTTGAACCATATATCTTTAACCAATTTAGCCTTTTTACTAATTAATGTAGTTGCTTACCTTGTTTGTGTGCGTAAGTATGTATATTTACCCACGCTACCATTACCAGTGATGCAGATGTAGTTGTCGTACTTTGCCTTGACGATCTTCGGGACAAGGTCGCCCTTTTGGACGGCCGCACAGGACCTTACTTTGACGACAGAATTTGGTTCTCCAGATCCATCGGTGAATATATGAATCTCTGGACGCTCCCCAATGCCAAGTGAAGCTAGCTTGCAAATCACCAGTTGTTCTTTGTCCTGCAATGTGCACATGTTATCCATTTGATGTGTTCTTAATAATCATCATCATCACCACCAACATGTTTAATCGATATGATTTTTTTTCAATATTGAAAAAAAAAAAAAAATCGGGGGGGGGGAGGTCATTACAAAAATGGGTAGATGACAAACACAATCATCCTAATTTTTACAACTTTTGTTTATTTGACAAGTCAGGTCAATCACCTTTATTCTATTAAAATCTATAATATGCTTGAATTAAATACGTAGCGAGAGGAATGTTTCTTCAATCAAATCACATTAATATTGATTCTGATGATTCATATTGATGAAAGTGTCGTGTGCGATAGAGTATATCAACAAGATCTACATATTATCTTCTTGGTGGTGTTTACTTGAAATTCAGGGGCCAGTTTCTCGAAACCGCCATAACACTTAATTCGTGGACATCAGATAAATGTTATAGCACAAATTTCATTGGGATGTCCAAGTAGTTTAGACTTATGACGGTTGCGAGAAACAGCCCCCGGTATGCTATAATACTAAATCTCCATGACATTAAATGATTCGACATGTCTTTCCTTCGAAAATAGCGCTACTAGTTTTGTTAACTGTGTGTTAAAACAAGGAACAGAGAATTTCCATCTGTGTCAAAACAAAATTAGCTCGTTAACTCTATTTTTCTTTCAGGGTATCAATATATTTAGTTTTTATTGAAAATTCAATGACTAATTCTATTTGAAGACGTCTGGGCAGCTCTTACCTTTAGGAGCCCTGTCTTGTGCAAAAACATGTGTGTTTCTGTTGTCCCAGACATGGTTCTGAAAGACAAAACATTTCGATACTTCTTCAATATATATAATTATACTATTTGATAAAATAATACTTCAATCATACGTATTCTTATCAATCCATAACACTTAGAGACAAAATTACCAGCCATCAAGGACTTTCCAATGCTTGTTGATATCATGATCGCATTGTTAACTCTTATACAAGGTGGGATAAAGATTTCCCTATTATAAGTTAGAAAGGGAGCATGCATCTTCGTTTGTAAAAAAAACTTAACCCATTATTGAATGTAATGTGACCAAAATTGCTTAAAATTTACCCAATAATTTATTCAATTGTACATATTTTTTAAAGAGTGTGTAATACATCGCCTACTTTTACATGCCATATATGACAAACAGTCATAAGCATCACTTATTTTACGAAGAGGAAGTATAGATTAGTTTTGTTGACAATCTTATATCTAGAAAATGCATTATAGTTAAAATAATAAGACCATCTTATTTTGTTTAAGCTTAATCAATCTCATTATCAATCAATTATCATTGATATTTAAAATTTTGGTCACATTGGAACTCATTTTTGCAAATTTCGTATTCTATTTTGTATTCTTGGTTTCCTTTATTGAAAAGGCTACATTGTTTCCACTCCACCATACAACACAGAGCTAAGTGCACCAGGGACGTAGCCATAATTTGATGTTTGGGGGGGCACATACATGTAATCGATCGACGTCCTGAGGAGGGGTCTAAAAAATTTCAACCGATCTTGAAAATTTGTTGGGGGCACGTCCCCCCCCCCCCCCCGTGGCTACGTGCCTGACGTGCACATCCATTATTCGCTACACACACATACAAACACGCAATGACAATGACAATCTATTCTCATGTCACGCACATGCACCCACACACTCACACACACACACACACAATATATATATATATATACACTCACACAACACACTCTCATACACAAAGATCGTTTAAACACTTTTTCTTTTTTAGACCGCCATCCTAGTCAAGCGGACAGTTTGGCTACTATTTTAAATTCATAATAATATGTTATAGAAATATTAAGTTTTGTTAATAGATGTACATATGTAAAAAAAAAAAAAAATTAAAAAAAGTTTTGACATGAAGTTATTGTTTGTATATATTATGGATTAAACCTACGTTTTTATGTTCTTTGTTATTCAGTTATTATATTTGGAAAAAACGCAGAAATTAGATGTAATCGAACGTAAATACTATTTCATTACATACACTTCTACATCATTTCCAAGGAACGTAATACATTTTCCTATCAAAATTCATCACCCGTCAATTAAGATGCAACATATATACGCGTTTATATAAAACACTCTGTTGTCAATCCAAATGTCAAATAATCAAAATACACTGTCAATCAATTTTGAAGAAAAAAAAAGTTTAAAATAAATGATGGAAGTGATTTTCAACTTTCTGTTTTGTTTTGTTCCAATATTTCTTTTGCTATCCTTATACTTCCAAAAAGTTCCAAACTGACTTAATCATTAACAATATATATTTCATGAGAAAACAAACCTCCCTAGATGTATATTTCGCCATGTTTCCAGGTATTCGTTAAAATGATCGTCATAGCTTCATTATCCTTCTCCTTCAAAGCAACTACTGTATTGATGATTCTCCGAATTGGTGGATTACAGCACTGGAAATGCCGAACGAAAGGTAACTAGTTTTCTGTCACCATCAAAACTGACTAATAAAGGCATCAGAAGTTTAAAAAGCTAAATGTTTATCTTTTTTTTCCTGTCGATCTCACGATATGGCACATAGAGCAGCTCATTTTTGGTTTTGAACAGTGATTTAGTTCTTCCTCTTCCTATAAAAGTATTTTAGGAAACTAAACCCATTTTTTCTCACGCACCCCTTTTTACCATGATTCCAAGTATTCGATAAAATGATCTTCATAACTTCGTTATTAATAAAGCAATAATAATAATTCTGTGAACTGGTGGGCTACAGCACTGGAAATACCAAAACAAAAAGTGATTAGTTTTCCGACGTCATCAACATTGTGCATTCAAGATATCAGAAGTTTCAAAAGCTTGTTGTTTGGCAGTCTATTTCTTGCCGATATCACGATTATAGTACACAGAGCAGCTCCTTTTAGTTTTTGAACAGTGATTTAAGTTCTTCCTGTTCCTATAAAAGTATTATAGGAAACTAATTCCATTTTCTCACGCACCCTTTTTTACCATGATTCCAAGTATCCGTTAAAATGATCTCCATAACTTCATTATCCTAAAAACCAACGATATCAATAATTCTCTATAGTCTATTACATCTCCTCCTTTAACATGGCATGCATGACAAACAGTCACAAGCATCACTTCTTTAACGAAAAGGAAGCATAGATAGGGGAAATAGTTTATATGTTATATCAAGAAAATACATTCTAGTCGAAATAATAAGACCATCTTTTTTTTCTTCATCTAAATCAATTTTATCCCATTTCATTACATACACCTGTGAATGACTCCTAGCAACGTAATCTAATTTTTCCTTTCAAAATTCATTACCTGTCATGCAAATTACTGATAAAAATGTAAGTTTTTAAGCAATGAAGATGCCACCCATTTGTAAAAACTCTGTAGCGGATCCAAATGTCAAACAATCAAAATACTCTGTCAATCAATTTTGAACAAAACAAAGTTAACAATTAATGATGAAATTGATTTGCAATTTTCTGTTTCGTTTCGTTCCAAACTTTTTTTTAATTCTTATGCTTTCAAAAGGTTTCAAACTGACTTTATTATAAATAATATATATTTAAATGAGAAAAAACCCTCCCTAGATTAATATTTCACCATGATTCCAGGTATTCGTTAAATGATATTTATAGCTTCATTATCCAGAAACAACGATATCAATAATTCTCTGAACTGGTGAGCTATACAGCACTGGAAAAATACCCAAACAAAAAATAATTAGTTCTCTGGCGTCATCAAAACTGTGATTTTCAAGATATCAGAAGTTTCAAAAGCTAATTGTTTATCAATCTATTTCCTGTCAATCTCACGATATGGTACACATAGCAGCTCCTTTTGTTTTGAACAGTGATTTAAGTTCTTCCTGTTCCTATAAAAGAATTTTAGGAAACTAAACCCATCCTCCCACGCACCCTTCGCATGCAATTGAGACTAAAAAGTACAAATCACTAAATATTGACATTCTCGATAGCCTTGATTTGTATCGATGATGACTGTCCATGTATTTTTCTTCATCTTCAATTCTTTAGTATTCTCTACTTCACTCTTTCTACTTGTCTTCTTTTGTAAACACGACGTAATGCGTTTTTGTTTTTGTTTTTGTTTTTTTGGGGGGGGATTTGGGGGGAATGAAATAAGGAATAATTCTGATCGCAAATTGATCAGTATTTCATTGTTTTATATCTTTAGTGTCACACTAAAAATTAATAGTCGGTCATTATCCCATGATGCGGATTCCCCCCCCCCCAAAAAAAAAAAAAAAAACGATTTTGCTCATTACGCCATTGCTGGTCACCATTACGTACCAGTATCTGGCTTGCATAGTTTCAAATTTGCCCCCCCCCCCCCACCCTAAGAAATCCTGGATCCGCGCCTGCTGGGTGGACAAACGTAGGGTATCTCGAAGCCAGATTTTGACACTCTGAGAAGGGGGGCCTTGTAGATGCCATGTTATACCCAGCGGGATTATATTGGTATGGAATGCCAATTGGGCCACAGCCTGTATCCTTAGATATGCTTCATTATCCCTAATCCATTTTTTGTTAACGCAGTGCTTGTAAGCCTTATCTATATCCCAATGCTTTTCAAACTTCGTAGGCATTCAGCGTGTCCACACACAAAACAATTTATCCCGAAACTCTATAACGAAACGTCGTATAAAGAATCATCGTATAAATTTCAGAGTGTCCACACAAGAAAAGTCGTATAAATAATCATTGTATAAATTCCAGGATGTCCACACACAGAAGAAAGTAATCCTGAAACTCTACAGCGAAATGTCGTATAGGTACGCAGTTTGCTACTGCGGTCATGAAATGGAAGCGAAAATGAGAGGTCTGGTCTCCTTTCGCTCGAAGTCACGTTAAGCCCCGCCCAGTTAGTTACACTAGTTACACTCCCCCTGTCCACACACAACATTTTCCATGATTAGGCGTGATTAGGCGTGATTCTTTATTGAGTTTCAGTTCGAAACGATGCCCAAACCTGCGAAGTTCGTTAGACTAGTTTCGTTATACGACGTATCGTTAGTGAGCGTCCACACACACAATTTTCCATCGTAAAACTATCGCGAAACGGTATCACTATCGCGAAACGGTATAGCTAATCACGCCTAATCACGGAAAATGTTGGGTGTGGACAGGGGGATAGTCTCTGCCATCCTATCAAGGTCACTAGTTTCACCGTTTTCCAAAAGCGCTCGTGCGTGACTGTCCAGTCACCATTTTGTCTGTTCCGGGCCGTGTTTTAAGCCTTTCTTTCGGCCTTTCTATCTCCACATTCCTTTATGCTACAGACTTCTAAGAAATTGCTCTAGATTTTTCAGGGAGATACTCTTTCGTCTGCCAAGTAAACACACAGGCATCAATGCATGTATTTTGTTTGAATACGATTGAAGTGCTTGTATTATTCTTCTTCTTTTTCCTTTGATTACTGTTATTATTATCATTATTTGTATTGTTGTTGTTGACGTTTTTATCATTATCGTTACTTTTCTTCTTCTTCTTCTTCTTCCTCTTCTTCATTATTATTATTATTATATCCCATAATAAATTCCATTATAGCTCTTACAGGCATGCACAAATAATTCATATATACTAGTAGTCACATCAACAAATTAAATTAGCTGAGTAATCTTTATACTTCTGTAGGGGGAGGGGAAGAACATTCAGTTTGTTTACGTTTTTTCCATACAGTTAAACACAGAATGCTAATCTTTAATAATCATCATTTCCGTTTTAATTATAAACTAATGTTTTTGGATTTGCGTTTTCGCTCTCTCTTTATCTCTCTCTCTCTCTCTCTCTCTTCGAGAAGCTATGTCCGTGGATACTGTCTCATTTAAAAATGGTGAGAAGTGGGCAAGGAATCGGTTTTCATAAATAACTTTTAACGTTCATGTGCACATTTTCGTCTTAAATCAACAACAAAACAAAAATCATCGTTTTGACTACCGGTAATTCAATAATTACATAGTAAGCAAATGCTCATTTCATTTCAATACCGTTAAATTCATGCCATTCCTATTTAAAATAGACGATGATAATTTTATCAGCGTTTCAATTGATGAGTTGGTAGAGAAAAAAATAATTTAAAACAATTCTTTGTGTTCTATACATTTAGAAAAAAGGAAGTCAGTGGGTATTTACACCCCCCCCCCCCCCCCCCCCTCTCAGCTCCAATTTCCAAAATATACCAACATGAATGTGTGGCTAAACGTTTAAAAGAAATAAGAAATTAACACCCGCTCTTGAGTCTAAACCACTATTGACAATCCTCCATAAATACGGCAAATATCATTAAAATTCAGTCTGCTATCAAAGATGAATATACAGTATTAGATTTATTATGCTAAAGATTAGCTAATTAGCTGCATGATTTCGACTCACCTCTCCTTCTGCGACATACTGCCAAGGTAAATACTATCTGACAGTTGGCCAAGCTGGCGAAGAGAGCCCTCAAAGCTTGCCCTCGATCACGACGATGATCTTGGTGAACTCTTGATTGTTGAATGATTTTCACTGTACACTACCCTTCTGATTACGAAACAGGCACTTCAAGATAACTCTAAAACAAATGAGCTCTAAAGTGCTCGCAATCCAAGTTTCTTTCAGATTTCAGTAAAAGAAAGTCACTGAGGCTGAGAAAGTAAAAGCAACTAAATCGGATTATGGATATTTAAATGAGCTGAGACCAAACTTCGTCGATCTATATAGTAAACAGAAGTAGGCAAAACAATTCCGTAACGCAATATTGCTCACATTTTGTACGCCCGCCAGTTTTTCGCATCTCATTTGCTTGTGGGGAATGTGGAGGTTGAACGCGCCCATCGCACACCACGAATGGGGACCTTAACACTTGCACGTCGACAAAGTGGACTGCTACGTGTGACGTCCTTTTAAGGCACTGTCAGTGCCTTAAAAGGTGCCTTAAAAGGACGTCACATGTGCTACGTTTGACGTACTTTTACTATGTCGACGTGCAAATATAAAAGTCCCTAATATCCCGTGCTCACAAGCAGGTGGCCAGCGCAACCCATGACCAAGACCAATCCTCATAAAGCTGCTATACGCTTCACTAATCGCGAGTCAATCCTTATGAAGAGCACTTCATTAAAAAAAATGTTCGAATCTGAGGTGTAAAACGGGTGGAATCAGCGACGATGTTCACCCAGATACGAGAAATGAACACAAACGGCTGATGACGAGAGTCAGGCAATTACGAGATGAAAATAAGTTTGCGTTCATCCCAAATTCCTTCCCTAGAGTAATTAAATCTTAGGATGGCCCCCAAAGATGCCCCGGGACCCCTAAAAACGCTTCGACTATCAGATCTGAACAATACGAATCGAACAATTACTTCACCTGCACACGCCCACTTGCACACACACTTGCATTTTCCCAGTTTTTTTTAGATACTTTATGAACATAATATTCAAACGTGACACTCTATTCTCCTACATACTCCAATAACAACGTCACGTACCCCCCCCCCCCCCCCTCCCCCTCCCTCTTTCTCGGCTGCTATCTCTAAGCATTCATGCTTATGGTAGTTAGCCTCTGCATTTATCTTGATTCTTTTAATTACCTCCATACTTTAAATTTTTCAATTATATATATAGTAAATTATATGCATTTTTGTATGTATGTATTTCAGTTGTCACTCTTTATGTAAATCAATGATATCATATACTATAATTGTTATTTGAATATTTTGTATTTGATTTATCAATAAATGCAGAAACATCTGCTAAAAAAAACTTTAAAAAACGAATTCTTACATGTTGAAACAATAATTTTCTATTTTAAATCATCAAATACAGTGCATGTTCATATGAAATTCATTGACATAAGCCCACTGGTCATTGTTACACTAATACACGACTTTGAATATGATGCGTGACTCTCTCTCTATATATATATATATATTAAGATCTGGTCGATTAATGATTGAGGGCTTGGCAACTATTTAAAGAGATGTTGTGTATATAACTGGATACGGAGTTCTGATCATGAAAGAAAGGAGTTTTTACGATGGTTACAGATGATGTAAATATTGTGGTATGCAGGGCAGGTTTATTTTGGTTTTTTCAAATTAAAGTAAAAGTGCAGAAAGTTCGCGTGATATATTTTGGCAATAACATCGTTCCTTTTCATTCGAAAGTTGATTGACAATTAAATTGCTTTCTAGGGATTTACATGATGTTTAATTCATGGATTTTCTTTTGATTTATTATAAAAACAAGGGATTTTTTTGTAATTTCTAGCAGGAAACTGTAAATGCATAGCTTGCACGTATCTCTGACGTCAAAAACAATTAATGAAAATAACCATACTCATAAAGATTTAGTTTATTAAAATCCGGAAATGCGCTGCAGGAAAGTAAATTTACTTTTAATCTGTAATAAAAACTAAAACAGACAATAAAAGACTTTAATTTGGAACTAAAAAGAGTTTCTATGAAATCCACACAGGATTCAATATTGCATGACTACTTGCTGTCTTTCTTTCTGTATTCTACATTAGACTCTCTCTCTCTCTCTCTCTCTTTCTCTCTCTCTCTCTATGTATCTCTCTATCTATCAAACTATCTCTCTCTTTCTTTCTCTCTTTCTTTCTCTCTCTCTCTCTCTCTCTCTCTCTCTCTCTCTTTCACACTCTCCTTTTCCATTGTCAGACTTAGAATTAATTTAATGTTTTCTTCATTCATTCGCAACATTAGATACTAGGAATGAGTGGGGTAATCACACGAAATTACAAGTTGACTGATGCAACAACGGTTATTTCCTCTTTTTTTCTCCCTCGCTATAAATTATTATTTTCGGAGAAAGAAAGGAACTTAATGGATTGTTGGCAAGAACAGTGGAGTCAACGGTTTTTTCCTGTCAATGATTGTATTAAATAAGATGCATGGAGCGTCGAAGACGAGAGGTTTAAACTATCGACTAAAGTTGAGAAGGTCGTGGGTTTGATCCCCGGTACAGCATTTGTGTACTTTAGCAAGAATTTACTTATTGATTATTATCCCCATGCAGCCAAGTGTCGAATAATGTACCTGGTAGGCAGCGAAAGTTTGTTCAGCATTGTGAGCTTCTCTGAAAAGGCGCCTGGCTGGAATGCACCCCATAATGAAGGAGATGCATATATACATGCGTGGATAGTGGCGTAATGAGCAAAACAAATCCGCATCACCACCAGATGGCATAATGGGCAATAATTGTTGTTAAAGGGGGGAAGAGAATCAGAAGCGGATCTAGAGGGGGGGGTTGGGGGGTTGCAACCCCCCCCCCCCCAAAAAAAAAAAAAAAAAAAAAAAAATCCGGGGACCATTTTTTTTAAATCTTATCTTTTTTTTTAAACTTGTAATTTTATTTTATTCTATTTCTATGTATTTATTTCATTAATTATTATTATTATTATTATTATTATTTCTTTTTGGGGGGAGGGGGGGGGGGGTTGGGCGAACAAATGTCACAGAGTCCCTTGCCCCCTCCCCCATCAGCTTTTTTGAGGACACGGGCCACCGCCGAAGTGAAAAAAAAAAGAAAGAAAAAAGAACGCACGCTGGAGAGAAACCCTTTCAAGTGCAAATATTGTGAGAAGATTTTCAACTCATCTGGTAACTTAACCAAACACATGATAACTCTGGATATAACTGTGTATTTAACTGTTACTTGATTTAAAAAGACGTTATCATGCACTGCTTTTTATGGTCTCCATTGTGTTAATAGATGCCAGGAAAACATCACTTACGGGGTTCAAATAAACACCCCAAAAAAAATCGGCTCGCCGCTTCGCGGCTCGTGGACGATGCTCCGCATCGTCATTATTTTGGTCAACCCCCCCCCTTAGCAAAAAGCTAGATCCGCCCCTGGAGAATGCGGATATTGAAGATAATATCGCCTATATATTCTAGCTATGGCGTACCGTTTTTTGCTATGTTGATTATTCATGAGGCTAGAATACTTTGCATCTACCCATGAAAAAATACTTGATTGCTTACATTAATGTTCTTCACACTTTGAGCAATAAAAGTGTGGGGGCACCAACAACTTAAACGGGGCACTTTCTGGAAAAGGGGGCATCGTCAAAGGGAAACCTCAAAGTGAAAATATGTCATTACTAGACATTGGTATAATACCCCTACATTGTGATTACATTATCAGGGATGGTTTCAATGTTTGTTTCTCTCTTTACATGGTCCAAGATACTGCTTAAGCATCATACTTTGCAGTTGAATGTGATGGTCTGTAATATTCATTTGCGAGCGAGTAATAATTTGTAAGATTTGTGTGGCCTGTCGCAGTTCGAAAAAAATACATCTTATAAAGATGGGGGACAAATTCTGATGGGGTTTTAAGCACAACCTAATCATGAAAGACTGAAAAGATATTTAATAAGAAACGTAAATAAATAAACTTTAATTGCTAACGAGCGTAGCGAGCAAGCTTTCGCTGAAAATTAATGGGAAAATTGCTCTTAGTTGCTTTAGAATATTATGAGCACATTTTATGGTGAAAGGAAAAAGAGGCACATATCCAAAAGGAAAATGACACTTATTAGAAAAAGGAGCACGTGTTAAAGTAAAAAGGGCAATTATCAGAGGAGAAAATGGGGCAATGCTTGCACCTAATAAGGGGCACTCACCAGAAATGAAAAAGGCACTTGTGAGAACGGAAAAGGGGCACTATATTATTACAAAGGAGAAATAGGAGCAATTATCGGTAAGGAATTGGCATAAACTAGGAATGATAAGCCGGGAACGAGCCAAAATAACAGGGGCACTTATCTGAAGAGGAAGGGGCACTTATTACAAAAGAAAAGGGCACTTCGTAAAGTAAAATGGGCACCTCTCAGATTTGAATATGGGAATTTTCAGAGGCAAATGGACACATACCAGAGTTGATAAGAGGCACTCATAAGTATGTGGAACGAGCAACTATTTGAAATTTTTAAAAGGCGTTTATCTGTATAAATGGGGGCACCTTTCGCAGTAAAAGAGCACTGTAGGTTTTTTTTACCTTAGTTCTTTATGATCCAAGACATGTTGTACATTTATTTGTTTTTAAGTGTATTTAAACTGATTATTAACCATGCCTTGCACATGTCAACATTTTTATTGTTTCATTTTATGTTTAGAAATGAAATGATATGAAAAAGTTAACAGACAGGAAACATCTTTCAAATCCCTATCAGGAACCAATGGAAACAACTTTAATCCATTGTGTTGATATATTGTCCTATGTAGTTAGAACATGGTATTGTGACTCGGAGCATTTGATTTTAGTGTTCATTTTTGTTCTTCAAAACACACACCAACATCACGCTTTTCATAGTTGTAGAAGTTTCTCAATACATACTTTTCACATTTTGCATTACAAACATAAAAATCTGTTTTCAAATTTTTTTTTTTCAATCTCTGAACAGCATTTTCTGTACTAGTGTCAAATGATTAAAACATATCAGTGAAAAATTCTTAGCTAATTAAGAACTCATTTTTTTGTAACGTGTTCTTTGTTATATTTTTAATTGCAAACATTTGTATGACAGATTTTTAAATGACAGCTTACTTTAATTCACCTGAACATTGGGAATTTCAGAGTCCCATCCAGTACGCCTTTAATGACCTATGCTGTGTGAGATTCTTAAGGATTATTTTCACTTGGGTCTTCGGATATAGGCCAAAAGGGAATAAGGGGTACAGATTCGCTCGAAGTGGGAGGGGTCTTTCTATTTTATTTGATAGTATATACCTTCAAAGATCCACACGCTAGTCTACGGTATTTGTTATGTGATCCCTAATCTGGTGAAATATCTTTTTGACCTATAGTGAATGTTGCATCGTTCCGCCATTATATCCCCTCATTTCTCTCTTCGATTTCTTTTCAATTCTTTTCCCTTTCTTTCCCCTCCACCTCCTCCTCCTCCTCCATCTCCTCCTTTTTCTTGCTCCCCCTCCTCCTCTTTTTCTTCTTCGTCCTCCTTCTCCTCCCCCGCCTCCTTCGAGAATGGCATTCTTCGGTTTTCTTCTTCGTCGTCGTCATCTTCTTCTCCGTCGTCGTCTCTTTCTAATCTCTATATCTTTCTCTGTTTTATTCCTCTCCTCTCTTTCTGTCTTTCCTCTTTTCTTTTTTTTTAATAACTGTCGCGTTCCATTCGGCCTGCCCTCACGACGGATCTGCCTATGAAGTCAACCGTAATGTTTCATATACATAATATCCGTGTCTAAATGATTACAACTATCATTGTGTCTGCTGCCCTCTCTTGACACATATTTCAGGATGGATCGTCTGCTGTTTGCATGTTCTCTCATTTCCGTTTTCATCCAAGGTCATCTTTCTTCATCAGAACACCACTCCTTCAAAGTGTCTTGTGATAAAAATGTTGCAGAATTAAAGCACTTTTGGAGAAGTACAGGCCTTTGGTGAGTGATCTCCGTATTTAGCATGACCCTGAATAAAGCTTGCGATGATGGCTCTACCTACATTTTGCTTGTTGCCCCAGCTATTGAATTTCATGTACCCCTTCATGTACAGTCAGTAGAATAGGTTATAAAACGGTCAACAGTGAGAGTCAAAAAAAAGTTCAACCTAGTAAATTCAGGGCTGCCAATTTTGAAAAACAGTTAAAAGTGAGATTATACAAGATGCTTTAGCGTGAGGGAGCAAAGCGACCTAGCCCAACCGAGCGCAGAGAGGGTTAGTGGGAGGGGGACGTCCCTCCCACAGTGTGGAGCTTTTTTATTTTTCAAGGTAAAATTGTGTGATCTGGTGCATACTTTATAGAGTATTTTAACATATGGCTAAAGGCAAGAGGGAGAGAGAAAATACAGAGAGGTTAAGAAAATTCACGTTAAACTGATGCATACCGTACCGACGGTGGGGTGCGGGCGTGTGTGTGTGTTAAGTTAGTGTCTGTTATCTAATAGCAATTCATCGGTAATGCTTTTGTGATGTTTACATAAAACGATTTGCAGCTCCAAATAACATCCCTAACAAAATTGATCATGCCACACATATCAAAGAACATTTGTGCGCATGTGTGTGTGTGTGTGTGTGTGTGTGTGTGACTTGCTTCTGCAAACATTTTATGCAATGCTTCTCATTTGATACATTCAATTCATTCTCTTACTTTAATAATATTACTTTTTGCAAGTTGATTTTTGCACTCTCACAAATAATGCCTTCTGTTCATCCAAACGTGAACACATACCACACAAAAATGATACCAAACGATTCGGGATAAAACACACTTTCAAAACCTGTATGATAACCTTTCGTTCACTAGCTGACTTTAAATAAATGACAATTTTCTGAGTGTAGACTTTTTTTTGTCACACACGGTATAGCCACACATAGCAGCATTATTATCCTGGCTGTATTTAAAGTTAGGGACACTGTACAGCAGTACTTTCATGCAATATTTTGTAAAACCTGCTGTTTGATAGTTTCAAACAGTTTAACAAACAATTTAATGAATCAATGTAGATGACAAATAACAAACAAATGAAACTTACAAGTTTTGTTAATTAAATTTTCCTTGGTTTTTCCAGATATTTGAGCCTACTTGTGTTTACCTGTGTTTATCGTTGTGATCGGTTGTTAACACAGGTCAGCGGCAGGCTATCTGCACATGCGAGATAGACAGCCACCCGTCAACACACACAGTTTGATGCAGGCACGGATCCAGGGGTTGGCCGAGCGAGCCTTGGCCACCCCCCCCCCCCCCCCCCTCCAACCAGCAACAAAAAATTGTGACCAGAAATTTACCTTATTATTTATTTTGCTTGGGGGGGGGGGGGGGGGGGGCGGGGGGATGTTGAGCGAAATATCGGCAGGCGCGATATTCACAAATTTCCCATTGGCAAAAAAATAAATAAGTGCTCACTTCCCCATAATGCCCTTCGCCCATTTTGAAAGTATTTTTGAGTAAAATCTGGTGAGTTTTGTCCACAGATGTTTGAAAATCAATAGAGTAGTAGATCTAGTAGTAGTAGTAGTTTTACGTAGATGCTAGTAGCAGGTGCAAATTGGAGGGGAATCGATTGGGGGGGGGGGAACACTTGGTGGCTCAAGTCCCCCCCCCCCCCCCCCCCCTCAAAAAAAAATTAAAAAATAATAATAATAATAATAATATTAATTATTATAGTAATAATGATAATTGCTGTTTCACTACATTATTTACCATTATGCTCTCCAAGATATTTTAAAATTTTGATTTTCTTTTAAATCCATCTTTTCAAAAAACCTTTTAGTCCAGCAGCTCCACATCAAGAGGACTACAGCTATTTCTTGAGTGAGGATGAAAAGCAGAACCTGGCCCTGATTGGGTCTGTCCCAAGAGATGGCATCAAGCAAGTTCGCATTCATTGGTTGCTGGATCTTGTTAAAATCAAGTAAGCCAGGCAATCCAACCTGTGTAATAATAAGTTCATTTGCATGAAAGCAGAATGATAAGAGAAACAGAATAACAAATGTTTGAAATGTGAGATCACTTAATATCTGTAAATCTCAAATTGGTCAGTGGATTGTGACGATGACATGTTTATTGTACAGTATACAAAAATACCATTAATTTATGCTTTTCTCCTAGAAGTGTCTTCTCCCTTGAGGCACTTGTCTACATACATTATATGTCTTCTAAAGAGAACAGGCCCTCCTGGGTCATAGATTTTGAAAAATTGAAATTTCAGTCATGTTATGTGTTCGAACAGATGGGAAAGTATTCCAGCTCTACCTCCATAGTGACATTACTGATTCAGTCAATTTGATGTACCTAGATGGACAGAGATTATAAATTTTTGCCCAATTTTGATCAAAACTTTCACCAGTCTACTTGTGTGATTTATGTGCTCTCTTTTTCAAAGTAGTTTGCTTGTAAAGTTGGATTTTCCTTTAAGCTCCCTGGTAAACCTGTCTTGCTTGGCATGGTATCATAATACTTAGTTCAATTGATATAAAAGTAAGTTACTATTGGTTACAATAACCACAATAGATCAAATTTTGATAATAAAAGCCATTATAGATTAGATTAGATTAAAATCAGTTTACATTGTATTTATTATCCCATTTGTATCTGAACTGGTAGGTATGCAGCATTCACTCTTGCATTTAAACCCTGTTATGGAGTGGCATGACGTAAATCACTGTCTTGCCAAAGGATAGTGGTTGGCAGAGATTTAAACAAAACCTTAGCCTTTTGATAGACAATCAGGTGAGTGACCCGCTATGCCTCAATGCTTCCACAGGTATGTGCTGAAGGATGTCTTTCTATCCTGCCTGTTGATCTACCGGTACTTACAATATCTACAAGATTGTCTAGCTTCTCTCCAAGAGTTCACTTTGTCTCTTTCTGTTCTTTCATTTTTTTTCCTTCTCTTTTCATTCTCCCTCCCTTCCCAACCCTCTCTCCTTCGACCCCCCTCTCTCTTTCTCTCTCTCTCTCTCTCCCTCTCTCGCTCTCTTGCTCTTCCTTCCCTCTCCATCTCTTTCCCTCCTCTCCATCTATATCTCTTTCTCTCTCCCTTTCTCTACCCTTTCCCCTCCCTCTTCTCTCCTTTCCTCCCTCCTACCTCTCTCCTTCCAAAACACCTCAACCAGCTCAATTGAAGGATCCATCATCAACTACAACTTTACCCTTTTGGACCAACTGGTTGATCTGTTACATTCCAATGGTCTTCAGCCTGGCTTTGAACTGATGGGGAACCCATCGGACTGGTACAACGACTTTGAGAACAGGACCCAGATTTTCGCCTGGCGGGACTTGGTCCAGCTCATAGCCAAGAGATACGTAGGTGAGTGATATTCAACAGAATGTGTACTAAAGTTGAACAATATCGTTCTAAATGTCACAGAAATTGACTTACATTGAGGGTAAAGATGTCGTCCTTTCCGGAGTGAAATTTAGACTTAAAATGCTTTGTGTCATAATAATAATAATAGTGGGTTCTTGTATAGCGCTCATGTCTGTCAGACTTGACACTCCTGGTGCTCCATAATTATATACCCCGGTTTTAACATGGCCACCATTACGGTACGTGCTCTAGCATTTCAAGGAAATAAGTCCTGCCAGGTGCCCATTTACATCACCTGGGTCGAGTGTGGCAAATGTAGATTAATGTCTTGCCAAAGGACATCAGTGCCATTGCGTACATCGTGATCCAAAGTTTGGTGACGTATCCATGACAACCATGACATGTCAATTATGAATTGGGAAATATAATCTGCTCAATATAGGTAACTGTCTCTATTTCTATAAGACCATCCTAGTCCAAGCACATTGTTAAACACTCAAATTCTTGAGGAAAGACCGAGGGGGGGGGGGTATGGCACCTATGGCATGGAGGGGGTTATTAGGATGACAAGAAAATGTCCCATTCCTAGAATTCTCACAAAATTGCTTGCCGTATTATAACCATTGAAACTTGGAAGAATTTTAACTCAATTTTGTGTACTTCACTCAAGCTAATTGTCTATGAAGGGTCTTGAATGACTTTATATTTACACATTTTCATCAAATTGTGCCCTCAGACATAGTCTGCACATCGTTATCACTGTAAATGATTTGGGATAAGTTTCTTCCAGCATAGTTTACAAAAAAACAGTTGACAACTGAATTATTCATACCCCATGTAAATGTTTAATCAAGTCGGCCATTAGTTATTTCAATCACAAATTTAAGGTAGTTTCTTTTCAAAATTGATTATGATGCTTGATAGTAACTTGTGTCTCCATGTTATGTGTGGTGTATCTTAGATCGTTATGGCCTTTCTCAGGTCGCTGAATGGAACTTTGAATCCTGGAATGAACCTGATCATGGAGACTTTGATAATCTCAATTTTACAGTACAAGGTAAGTGCAAGTGACCCATTGGATTCATTGAACTATTAGAGTGCAGGAATATGTGCTCTGCTTCTTATCAATCAGGCTTTTGTATACATGATTTCTTTAGAATCCAATAAAAAAAAATAGGACCTGTGACCTTCTAATGATTGTTAATAATAGTAATGATAATAATGATAATTATAACAACAACAACAATAATAATGATGATGATGATGGTGGTGGTGGTTATGATGACAATGATAATTATCATAATAAGAATGATAATAATAATGATAATTATATTAATAATAACAATGATGATGGTGTCCATTTGTATAACACAGCTACTGAACACATGTACTCTACTGAGAATAATACAAAGTATCTTATTTTTTCCCTGGCTGCATGGAACTGATGCACACTTTATATTGTGTGCTTGAAAAGTAGGGCAACTTGTGCTGTAAACAGAGTGGGCCAAAGCATGTTTACATATCAATGACTCTGAGCAGGAGCGGATCTAGCTTTTTGCTAAGGGGGGGGGGGGGGGGGGGGTGGGGGTTTTGACCCAATGACGATTGCGATGGGGAGCATTTTCCACGAGCGGTGAGCCAATTTTTTGTTGTTGCTATTTTGAACCCCTGTAAGTGTAAGTGATGTTTTTTCCTGGCATCTATTAACACAATGGAGACCATAACATGCAATGCATGATAACGTCTTTTTGAAATTTCAGCGTTTTCTATGTACGTCACATTTTCACTTGGCAGCCCAAGGGGAGGGGGGGGGGGGTTATGTCCGCAGACAGCTGTAGAGAACCAACCACAAAATACAAGGATTTCTGAATTACTATGATGCATGCTCTGAGGGCCTCGAGGCGGCCCATCCGAGCCTGAAGTTAGGTGGCCCCGCAGACAGCTGTACAGAACCAACCACAAAACAATCCGTCAAGAAGAGTTGGGCCATAATGGATCTTTTTTATATTCCTCCTTTGTCCTATAAGGTTTTCTGAATTACTATGACGCATGTTCTGAGGGCCTCAAGGCGGCCCATCCGAGCCTGAAGTTAGGTGGCCCCGCAGACAGCTGTAAAGAACCATCTAAAGAACAACCTGTCAAGAAGAGTTGGGCCTTAATGGATCTTTATTATATTCCTCCTTTGTCCTACAAGGATTTCTGAATTACTATGACGCATGCTCTGAGGGCCTCAAGGCGGCCCATCCGAGCCTGAAGTTAGGTGGCCCTGCAGACAGCTGTAAAGAACCATCTAGAGAACAACCTGTCAAGAAGAGTTGGGCCTTAATGGATCTTTATTATATTCCTCCTTTGTCCTACAAGGATTTCTGAATTACTATGACGCATGCTCTAAGGGCCTCAAGGCGGCCCATCCGAGCCTGAAGTTAGGTAGCCCTGCAGACGGCTGTAGAGAACCAACCACAAAGCAACCTGCCAAGAAGAGCTAGGCTTTAATGGATCTTTATTATATTCCTCCTTTGTCCTACAAGGTTTTCTGAATTACTATGACGCATGCTCCGAAGGCCTCAAGGCGGGCCATCCAAGCCTGAAGTTAGGTGGCCCTGCAGACAGCTGTAGAGAACCAACCACAAAGCAACTTGTCAAGAAGAGTTGGGCCTTAATGGATCACTGTGTCAATGGTATGAACTATTTCACCAAGGAGAAAGGCGTTAGGCTGGACTATATCTCCCTGCATCTCAAGGTATCGATTATGATAACATAATACACACTACTCCAACATTGGCTTAGTTAAAAAGCCCAAATTGCACAAGTTATAATTCCTAGGTGTTAGCATCACATGCCCTTATAAGAAAAGAAAGCAATAAGTACGCCATGTAATAAGAAATAAGGAATGGACAACTCTGTATATTAGAACTCATAGGCCAAGTGGTTATTATTTGTGTGAAAATTCAGCCTCTGTTGGTTTCCTTTTTCTCGACATCCATTCCGGAAAGAACAAAACTTGACTAAAATCAATTTTGTATGTCAAAACACTTTCAAGCGATTAAGGAGACTCCTGTTTACTCGACTACTTCTCCCTATCTTTCCTCTCTGTACACATTGATTATTTTCAGAGGTTTTTTTTTTGTAATGGCTTGTTTTAATTTTGACCTTTTTTTTTTTTTTTTCAGGGTGGAGGTGCATCACTGTCAATTCTCACCCAAGAGCTTGCTAAGATAAAAGAAATTCAGTTAAAGCATCCTTCTTTAACAACAACACCATTCTACAATGAGTAAGTATGATATTATTCAAATAGGAACTGCTATGAGAGGCTTGTTTGAGAATATTGTGCAATGTGATTTTGAAAGTGTGTTATTTATGCCCCCAGACTAATTCATGGGAGCTAACACAATCTTGACTTAAGCCATCCACACCATCGCTGGGATGTATGATGGCTTCTGTTTCACAAGGGCTTGCCACGCCTTCCTGTCTCCTGTCAGCCTAGTGGCTTTAGTCAGAGAGTCAAGGTGTCTTTTGCTGCAGTCCGCCTTGATACAGTCCATCCATCTCTTAGCTGGTCTTCCCCTTGGGCGTTTGTCACATACATTTTCGTTGAGAAGGATGTGGGGGTATCTATTTTGATTCATTCTGTTGATATATCCAAAGTATCTCAATCTTTTTGTGGCAACCCTGTCGATGATGGTTTCTTCCATGTTTAGTTGTGTTTTCGGCATTCTTGGTATACTATTTGCAGTATGATGCGCCACCTATCAGATGCAATAGACCGACGGAAATCCACAGTGCCTTATGAGAAAAGTCAACATCTCGAAGTCAGAAATGGCATATTTTAGGTCTTTGTGTGCCTAGCTACTATACTTTTCTTGTGAACAATTCATGCCGCATATTTTCTTGTAAAATTTAAACAATTTAAATTAAATGCTTCACGCCTCTGCTTTTGCCTTGTTGTTGTTTTTTACTTTTACTGAATATGTTTTGATGAACATAATGGATGAAGGCCGTACAATGGGTGAAATAGCCATGAAATAACGCTTCTACAGTACCGCAGATTTGATGTCGACCCGGGCACTTTAAAACTGTCCTTTCTGTTGCATCTGATAGGTGAAGCACCGTGTTGTGAATATCGAGAATTATAATTTAGATGTTGTTCTTGTGACTCAATCGGACATTTTAAACTCTGTTTGATAGTGAGGCTGATCCCCTGGTAACTTGGAGCAGGCCGGAATGGTGGAGAGCAGATGCTGCGTATGCTGCAATTGTTGCCAAGGTAATGCACCCTTTAAAAATACTATGTCCCTTTTGCAGCCAACATCAAATTCTGTAGAACTTTGCAGGAAATATGAATATGTCATGTATGTCCTATTCGTGAAATTTAAACATTAGCAGTGTCCCACTCCTACTCCTAGTATTCAAATTGTGTGCAAGGAAAGCCACTTACCTTCTAGACTTCACTATTTCTCAGTGTCAGACACTGTTGAGTGACTCCTGACATCTTTTTTTCTTTGGTAATAACATACATAAAATAAACAGGTACATAAGCATTTGTCTACATCAATAACCCATTACTTGTAATGGCCAAAATTAAACTGATTGAATCTTTGTGCAGCACAAAACGTACGACCAATTTACAGGCCCCAAAAATGAAAAGTTTAATTCCAACAATATTTGAAAGACAATACTAATTTAGAACTTAAATCATAATGAAAGGGTCTGAAAATCAGACTATTACTTAAGTTGATTAGACAACTAATGGTCGTTACTTTCCCACTAAAAGCCATTTTCAAGCCCTTTCATTATGATTTAAGTTCTAAATTAGTATTGTCTTTCAAATATTGTTGGAATTAAACTTTTCATTTTTGGGGCCTGTAAATGAGACATAGTACCTTTAAGTAAAGCTAAATAACAAAATTTGCTGACATAAAAGAAAGATTTTTGGAAAACTTTATTTCTATTATATTTTTTCTTATCTTTATGCTGTCTGTTTTTAATATTCTATGTACTGTTTATTAATGAAACCATCCAGATACAGTTTAAAACATGAGGTTCTTTCTTGTCGTTTGACTTTTATTTAGATCATTCTGCAACACCAGAATAAGATGATTAGAGAACACACTAACATCAGCTATGAACTCCTCAGCAACGACAACGGGTTCCTCAACTGGCACCCTAACTACTTCGACCAGCGCACCCTCGTCACCCGCTTCCAGATGAACGAGACAAAGCCCCCTAGTATACAGACCATCAAGAAACCTGTCCTTAGCATCATGGGATTGCTCTCTCTCCTCGGAGAGCAGCAGGTGGAGGTCGATGACCTTTCATATCGGGTCAAAGGTCAGAATGGATCATTGTCTGTGTCATGTGGGTGGGGTTCGAAAAAACGTTTGCTCTTCATCATAACTTAAAAATATGAAAGATGGAGGTCAGTGACCTTCCATATGGGGTCAGAGGTCAGCATGTGTGATTGTTTGAAGATATGGCCTTACTTGCTCTCTACCATAGATTGTAAGCTTGATAATTGTAATCTTACTCTAAGACTTTGTTCTCTCACTGATAACTCTCTTTTGCAAATTTCATATGTGATTGAAGGAGATATTTGAAACAGCATCTCTCTAGATACATGTCATTTCTAAAGCTTTATATTTGATGTCAATTTATAAATTACTTTTATATTTTCTTGTAGAAGGAGCAGTTTCTGATGGGGATGTAGGTGTGCTTGCCACCATCCACACTCCAACTCAATCAGGAGGAGCTGACAGGTGAGTCCCTTCTGCTCCATCTTTGACCCCAATTATTTGTAGTTGTTGTTGCTTTTATGACATTATTTTTCTATCAAGAAATCTATTTTTGAACCTTTCTTTAAAGACTTAATGCACTACTTATAGTTACTTGCGCCCTCTATATAGCAAACAATGCCTAATTGGTGCCTGTTTGTCCCCCATGATCCCCTTTTCTTATGTTAATTGAGAGCTGATTTGATGAGATAACCACCTGTCAGTGACCTTGCAGGGAGGTCTAATCCCCCTGGCCCATCTTTTTCTTATGTTGAGAGCTGATTTGATGAGATAACCACCTGTCAGTGACCTTGCAGGGAGGTCTAATCCCCCTGGCCCATCTAGTGCAGACGGGCTTTAATCCTGAGGAACCAATGGGTTAATATGACAGGTGAACGTAATTTGCAACATCCCCATTCCATGTGTGATTATGATTATGGGGTCTGTTGAGAACCAGAAGGGTGTTAACTCTATGTTAAATGATACAGTCAAACCTGTCTATAGCGAACACCGAAGGGAAACACAAATAGTGGCCGATGTAGACAGGTATGCATTGGCGGCCATTTTGATTGTATGGGCATTTTCGATGGCCAGCGGAAGCAAAATGAGTGGCCGCTGGTCGCTTTAGACAGGTGGTCGTTGTGGACAGGTTATTAACTACATTAAAAATCTCATGGGGGTATTTAAGTGGTCGTTATGGACAGGTGGCCATTACAGACAGGTTTGACTGTATATGCTAATGCCTTTCTGGCTTTGAAGAGACAATATTGTCCGCTTCAAAGTTCTGCAGCACATTCAATTTGAATTATCATCCAAGTTTGAAGGCTGAATTTGAGAATGCATATGGAAGCTAGTTAAACACAATTTTATCTACTGCATATTACTTTAAAAACAATGTTCTTTCAATCTTCTGTTTGTTAGGTTATTTATTTACCTTCCTGTTTTCCTATTTCAGTTGGCAAGCTAGTATCCTCATACACAACAGTGCAGACACAGATAACGTCACTGGTACTGATAGCATTCAGCTTGAAGTCGGTGGTGTCAACCCAGCTCTTACAACAAATGTGGCAGGTAAGAAGATGATTTTCAAGCATCCCTAGTTGTGTGTGTCCTTTGAATATCTTGATTAATTTACTTTTATAATACTTTCTAGATGACTTCCATATTTAATTTGATTTGATTTGATTCATTTATTTCTGTTTTGATTTTCTTTTTCTTTTGCATTTTTACAAATATATAACAAACAAACATTTCAAATTTATACATGACAAAAGAAAATATGTAGAATAAAGTAAGGCTGGCTGTAATTAATCGAAAACATCAAACAGAAGGGTTAAAAAGTAAGCAAAGCTTGATAGCATGACTATCCTCAAAGGATACATAATAATACAAATATGGAGGAAAAAATATTGGTAAAAGGGGAAAAAAGAAGAAAAAAGATTCACATATTTTTTCTTCTCCAATTCTATGTAAAAATAGGTAACATGAAATGAAATGTAGAGTCAACCGCAATTCATGACATGACCAGTTTCATGTCATATGTCGTTTTAGAAATCTAAGTCGCAAAGTTTATGTCATTGACTGCAAGCATGGTACCTCTTTGGTAAAATAGCGTAATCATGTAGATTATGGAACGTGTACTAATATGAAATTCAGATAAAAAGTGATTTGCAGCTCACACTAATTTCATTTTTGTTTTGTTCTTCCCCTTCAAACTAACAATCAAAGACTTAGCTGGTGACCTGGTTTATGTTGAATACCTTCTTGATAATGCACATGGAAATCCCTCAGCCTTCTGGAGAAAGTATGATTCACCAGTCTATCCTACCAGACAGCAGTTCAAGGAGATGAGACAAAACCAGGTGCAATTTATAATTCCTTCTTGCAAGTCTGAAATATGCATGTTTTCAGTGAGTTCGGATAAAGAAATGCCATGAAACCAAATAACTTATCATAGTTGCCTTCCCTGCAATTTAATGAGATTCATGATCAGAACCAAGTTTTTTTCTCCCTTTTTTGAAGGTAGTCAAATTACATTGTACTAGTAGGAATAACTATTAATTTCCTACCTTTGATATCAAATCTTCTACAAATAATTTCATTATTATCATTCATTGATTGGTGTACATTTTTTTACAAGCTTTGGTATCAAATCTTCGACAGACGCTTAATGTTATATAATCATCATTGATTAATCCTAAAGTTTTGTTTCTTTGTGTACATTAGGAACCAGTTCGAATTGTTGGACCAAAGACCTTCACCCCTCCTAGCATGACATTCAGTATTTCACTCAACAAACCAGGAGTCATCCTCGTCCATATATGTGCTAAATCTGCATCAGCTCCTGAAAAGGTAATGGTTTATGTGTATTTCTTCTTTTAAAAACTGGATTTTTTTCCCCCCATTAATCGAAAGATAAATGATTGTGTCGTGATAAATTTGTGTTAGGCATGTTGAAGGTTTGTTCATCCTCTTTTATATGGTATCATTTTTTGTTGTTGTTGTTTCATGTGTGAAGGAAGATATGAATGAATATAAAAGGTTGAAATGGGTAATTTCAAAACTGGTTTGCACAAAGAATAAGCCAGTTTGTTGATACAATCTAATCTGCGCATGGGCAGAATTAAAGGTAAAGACCAGTAATGGTCATGCGATTGCATTGTGAAAGAAACGTTGTGGACTCGATCAGAAAAGGTTGATCATCTAGCATCTAGCATCTGCAAGGTTCTGGAATCATCAAAATGATAAGAAATTTGGCCCATTCTTCGTAAAGTTACAAGCACTATACACAGAAAGATGTATATGGGACTACCCTATCTCTCTCACACGACCATGAGAGAAATAAATTTACCAAATATATGAATTAGTAGGCGGTTTCCCGGCAAATTTTTTATCATCATGTATTAGTCAAAACATATTCTTTCACATGATTGGTAATGAGAGCTTCCATTTCATTTTTTGAAATTGGGGCGTTACCAATACTGGTCTTTACCTTTAAGGCCATTTACACCATTTTTGAAAAACCCACCAAGAGGAATGCTAGAAACATGCTCATGAAAGTTAAGTAAAAATCATTCATTTATTTACTGCCATCTTACTCTGATACACTGGTGGAATTGTTCTTCTCAAGAGGTATTCATGAAGGACCTTCATCACTTTGGCAGCGATTTTTCTAGAATGCACGAAGTGTGATTTCCATGTTTAGAGTGTTTCACAAAGACTATTAAAGCTTATCTGTACTAGAAGGATTAGACCAGACTGCAAGGTCACAGGACAGGTGGTTATCTCATCAACTCAGCTCTCAATGGACATAAGAAAAAGGGCATCATGGGGGACCAATGGTCACCATTTAGGCATTGTTTTCTATATAGATGGAGCAAGTAGCTACCAGTAGGATAGTGTGGCTTTAAAGATCAACTTAGTTGGACATGAACTATGGCTGGCTGTTCATGCCACTGGTTGCTCTCACCATTGGTCTTTCAAGGGATGTGCAAATCGTAGTAAAAAATCTTCACAATTGACAATTATGTAAATTCTCTTTAAGAATTGGATTTATACTATGGTAGGCAAAATTTGAGGCAAAATACCAAATAAATTATGATCCTTTTTCTTCCTAAACTTCTCATCAGGTAACAGGTCTACGCCTTCATCAGTACACCGCATCAGATGTTCTAGTGATCTGGGATGATTCTAATATCACAACCCGCTGTATACTTACCTATGAAGCAGAGTATTCTTCCACAGGGAGTGAGGGAACATATAAAAGAATCAACACTGTCGATCTCATCTTCACTGCATTTGTATATTCACCTGATCAGGAAAAGAAGGGTAAACAATCATTCATGACTTATATTTATATTACATTGATATGACTATTATCTGTGTGAATTTATTCTTTTAAGATTCTTTTTGGGAACCTGTTTCTACAATTTTGATATACCAAATATTATTAGAGTGCTTATAATCTTATTCAACACTAAACATGTTAATTCTCTGAACTTAATCATTTTCTTTTTAATGTTGCTCTCTTCAGGTGCTTCAAGTCTCATCAGTGGCTGGTATCGTGTGAGGGCGGTAGACTACTGGAATCGAGCCGGGCTTTATTCTAATCCCATACAACTCCAAACCCAAACTCCATTTACCTGAGCTTTGCTCAACTCTATCCTTTTACAGTACATATTTGATGTGCATCTAACATTAAATTCTCCATTTTTAACAAAGAAATTTCCAGGAAAAAATTAAAGGAAAACTAATCACTTGTTTTATGGCAGATTTTCTTCAGAATATATGATATATTAATATACATATGTATTGTATAGAATTATAACTCATCATGTTAACTTTTTTCAAGATATTTACATTTGTTGTTTATTTTTATGCCTCCGTTACGAAGTAGCCGGAGGCATTATGTTTTCGGGTTGTCCGTCCGTCCGTACGTCCATACGTCCGTACGTCCGTACGTACGTCTGTACGTACGTATGTCCCGTTCTCGTGATCGCGTTATCTGAAGAACTGGTTGATGGATTCCTGCCAAACTTTGGTCATGTATGTATCTTGTAGAGCCGATGAACTGATTAGATTTTGGGGTTACGAGGTCAAAGGTCAAAGGTCACAGGGCTCATTATGTATGCAAAATGAGCTCGTGATCGCGTTATCTGAAGAACCGGTTGATGGATTCCTGCCAAACTTTGGTCATGTATGTATCTTGTAGAGCCGATGAACTGATTAGATTTTGGGGTCACGAGGTCAAAGGTCAAAGGTCACAGGGCTCATTATGTATGCAAAACGAGCTCGTGATCGCGTTATCTGAAGAACCGATTGATGGATTGCTGCCAAACTTTGGTCATGTATGTTACTTGCAGAGCCGATGAACTGATTAGATGTAGGGGTCACAAGATCAAAGGTCAAAGGCCACAGGGCACATTATGTATGCAAAAACAGCTCGTGATCGCGTTATCTCAAGAACCGATTGATGGATTCCTGCCAACTTAGGTCATGTATGTTTCTTGCAGAGCCAATGAACTGAGTAGATTCTTGGTTCATTAGGTCAAAGGTCATTGGCTCATTATGTATGCAAAAATAGCTTGTAATCACAATATTCTGAGAACCTGTTAATGGATTACAATTGAACTTGAATTCGAAAAATTTCTTCTGTTTTGGTTTGTAAAATTGCTCTATGACGGAGGCATCATTTTCGACTGCGCGCAGTCGAAGTTCCATCTAGTTGTATCTAAGATTGTAAGACTTCATCATAATAAAATGTTCATATTCATACCTGCTAATGTTTTGTATTGGATTTTAACTCATATTCATTTTCTTAAGATTTGTCCCTTTTTATCCATTAATAGCTTAGATGTGGACGTGGAAATATATTCATGAGAAATAAGTACTTATAAATAAAATGTAGAAATGAAAACGACATTTAGAAATGGCAATTCCTTAGGCTGAAAGAAGTGACTTGATATTCATATTTTTTCAGTAAATTAGATTAGAATAGATCTTTTGGGATGATATATGAGATGCCCCGTCTTATAAAAAGTTGATATCAATCGCAACTATGTACACAAGAGATAGGAGACTGCAAACTTGCGAGATTTGGATCGATTGCAACTCTTTATAAGACGGGACCCAGGTAACACATGTGTATTACAAGCAATATAAGTTATATAATTATGTGGATTGATATGTGAAAGGGTGATAACTAACATAATTGTATGTTCTTTTGTCTTTCCGCAACTTGTAATATATACTCGTCTATCTGTAACACAAAGAATGGCAACGATTGATTCCAGCTGTATGAATGTAAATCGGATAGGACGTAAAATGGAGGCCCCGTGTAGAGAAAAGTCACCACCTTTGCACGTTAAGAACCCACTGCACTATTTGTATAAGAGTAGGGGGAACCCCGATGTAGTGGTCCACCTGCACACACCCCAGTATAGTATGATAATACTCTGTAAAGAGGTATGTACTCAAAATGGAAGAAGAAGAAGAAGGGTATTTGTTTATGTTTAATTGAAATGTAACAACTAGTCTTGTATGCTTGGAGTGGTTGTTTTAAATTACAAATACAAGCTTATAAATGACCATCACAAACATTTTCATTAACTTCAATTTATGTTTTCTTCATTTTATGAAGCACCTCAACATCTATTATATTATTGATAAATACATGCAATAAAAGTGTGACTCTCATAACTAGGAACGTACTCATTCATTGTTCTTGCAATTTAATATTTACAACATTTTTTAAACATATATATTTAAGCCTATGAATTTTTGTTACATGTATTTACATCTGCTGTTTACCCATTTGATTCTTGGTGTACTTTCATCAATACTTTTGTACTGAAATTAAAATTATTTTCAAGTAAAATCTGATATTGTGTATTGCATGTTGTATAGATAGAAAGTATGATTTATTGGTCTTACTCTCTGTATGTAATGGTCCAGTCAGCTATTTCATGTGCATTTTGTATAGGCCGACTGAATGTGTTTTGTCCGAGATGGTGGAGAGGGGGCCCCTTTGCCCTCATCCCAAGTACCACATCTTCACCCCGATGAAGCCCCCAACACTAAAAAAAAAATAGTTATTAGCCCAGAATCTTGAAACAGGACTAGGTCTATATCTACTTGGAATAAAAAGTTTTTTTTTAATAAAACGTCCTATCGGTTTGATGAGAGCTGAGGTAGGCCTACCTAGTTGTGGGATCATATAGGCCGTAAAGAAACCATCAAATTCACTTAAAGATGAAACTCATCTTAAAGAGTTGTGATATATTGCTTGCCCTAGCTCTGTATGATTCTTTTTTTTTTATCTAGCTGATGTAACAATGTAACACGGTCCCAACGTCTTTTTGATATTTTCTACTGTACTTGAGGCCGGTGCGGATACGCCCCGCCAAAACACCAAAATACCACCTAAATCAAATCTGTTAGCCTTTTAAAATTCTTCACAAGTAGAAGTCGGTCTATATGGAGAATTTATTCTGATAAAAATGAAAAGACTAGGAAGAAAAAAACGTATTCTGATCGAATACTAATTTTGTGCTCGGCCAATGGCCCCCAATGGTTGAACTTTGATATTCTTAATTGAAAATGATGAATGCCCAAATTCTGCCGATAATAAATGTAAAGATAATAGTCTAATAAGTCTAATAATAATAAAATAATAATCATGATAATCAGAATGAGATAAGAATACTAACACCGCGACAAGATCTACTACTAATATATATATTTTTTCCCTTCTATAATTACAGTAATAATGAGTTGTTAGCGAGATCGAGGGCCAGGGAGAAAGAGAGAGGGATTGACCAGGGAGAGAGATAACGTGTGTGTTGTTTTTATTTGGTGGGGGGGCTGCATGACGCAATGTGATATTAAATGCTGAGGAGGTCGGTAGAGCTAGAGTAGAGCCAGCGAGCGAAAGTAAGAATTTCCCGCCATTTAGATTTTGTTTTTATTTCGTGAAAGCGCGGGAATAGGGAAACGAAGTTTGATTGGAGGAATGATTCAGGAAGGCGTGGTCGTAGAACTTCTTTGCATTTTCATTGGCCGATTGTCGTCCAGTTTGGCGCGCCTAGGTCTGTGAAGCGCGCGCTGTGCTTGCATGTATAATTAATTGAGGTCCGGCAAGCTTAGCACACCTGTTTGATGTCATGATTTTGGGTCGAGGCCAGGGTAAGTTTGCCTTTATTTTTAAGTAGATTTGATCTCTTTTTCTTCTGTTTTAATTTAACCAGTAGACTAATGGAATAATGGAAATTAGTAGTTGAATCTTGGTAAAATAGATAGTCTGATACTTAATAGACATGAGACCTTGTTCACTAATTCGATTTGCATTTTTCATATTCAAAGTCAAACTTGCATCGTTCGCGATTGCATGTACGCAGATCATGAGATGTGCATCGGGGTGATGCGGGGATGCTGCCCCATCGTCATCCGGCAACATGCGCTTGAGCATATGCTTGGAGGTCTAGGCTAGAGTGTCTAACGGTTAATTGAAATTGGTGGATGCAGGATTAGATCTAAGCCTCTGACAAAAATAGATAGACGTCTATAGACCTAGGTCTAGATCTAGGCTAGGCCTAAGTTGACAATCTAGGCCTATGGAGTTACTTATATTTCTGTCCTCGTTTTAAGTTGGTCTGGTCATGACCGGGTAGGTCGGTGTCGAAAACTAATTTGTCTGTGAAGTGTGAGTGCAGTGTGTAGAGGTCTAATCGCAGTCTGATCTCAGACTTCCCAAGTACTAGACCTAGGCTGAAGAGTCTTAATCTTACTAGATCTTTAGATCTAGAATCTATACTTACTTAGAACTCTATGACCAAGTCTTACTTATGAATAAGTCTTAGACCCCGTTCTCACTCACTTTGAAAGTGGTCTTAGTTAGACCGCTCCAGAGGAACGGGTCTTGAGGAACGGTTTGCGAGCGTTCACACTCCGAGCAGTTTTTATGGCTCAAACCGCTCCACGAGTCAAAGTGGTCTTGTTGCTATGGCAGCTCAGGTAGGCGGGTCAATTTTTTCGTGCGCGGAATCCAAACCCTATGTCACCTGATGTCCTGTTCGCGACGCGTCCCGTATACATGTATATGTGTAGTGCCTGCCCGATCGCTCATCACGCGGAACGTCACTTCCGTTCAAAGTACGCTTTCCATTCACATTGCATGTTAGAGCGCTCTGGAGCGCTCTTAATAAGACCCGCTCCTCAAGACCACCTCGGAAGGTGGACTTCTGGAGCGGTCCAGAAGTCCGCTTCCTGGACCACTTTGAGCGTTCTCACTCACCTAAGAACCGCTCCTGAGGAGCGGGTCTTAGTTAGAGCGCTCCAGAGCGCTCCAACGAAGTGAGTGAGAACGGGGTCTTAGTCTTAGACTTTACTATGACTTGGTTGACCTTAATTTGCTTTTATTTGATTGAATTGAATTGAATTGAATTGAAAATTTATTGTCCCTTTCGGGAAATTCTTTTTTCACTGGTTTACAGTCTTTGTACATATATACATAATACAAGAACAATACATAATACAATAATTATCAAATGTAGATCGTTACAAACGTAGTTACATTCTGAAAATGATTGTTGCAATGGAAACGGAACAAAACGAATACATGATTGCAGTATAACATAAACATGGCATTTCAGGAGAAAAATTCGAACATTAAGCTTGCTGTTTATTTGAGGATATAGGTCTAGGTGAGTTTAATATTATGAGCCCTAGCGAAAATTAAATTCAGAACAAAGTATAAGTTAAGACCAGTATTTACGTTTGAGTTCCAGACCTCCGGGCTTGTGCATTGAAGTGGTGAATGGAGTTGGGAACAAAAAGATTGCCTGAAACGGGTTTTCTGTGTGCGCGGTGCGCACAAACGTATGCCTAAACGGTTAAATTTAAAGTTCTTGTTGAGTGGGTGGGTGGGGTCCTGCATAACCTGTCTTAATTTAGATGAAACTCTCTCTTGGTACAGATTATCAAGTAGTGGTAAGTCTATCCCTAGTATACGATGTACTATTTTCCTGGGTTTATTGAGCTTCTTCTGGTCAATTTTTGTTGCATTAGCAAAGTAGCAGACTAGGTTGTACGTCAGAACACTCTGGATTAGGGACTTGTAGAAAAGAACAATTAGTGTATTGTCTACCCTTAACTTTCTTAAGGTCCTTACAAAGTATAGCCTCTGATTTGCCTTCTTTTGAATTAGTTGAACGTTTTTTGACCAGTCTAGTGAATTGCTTATGGTCGTACCCAAATACTTATATTCTTGTACTTGCTCCACATCTTCCCCATGAATGGAAATAGTTCTGTGTTCAGTAGCATTTCGTCGGAAATCTATTATCAGTTCCTTTGTTTTGGATATTTTTAGTTTAAGGAAGTGATCGTCACACCATTTTACAAAGTTATCTATCGTCGTAGTATATGATTCGGTATTGTCGGTATTTGATAGATCTACTTAAAACTTTTTCAATTTATTGAGCCTGTTTTGGCAGTCAATCGCTAAATAACTTTCCTCATCATATTCATAAGAAATATCAATTGATATTGAATTGAAGATGGGTTGTTCTCCCTTTCCTGCTCATCAGTCATCACTTTCCCAGGCCTAGAACTATGACTTAATGAGTAATGAGTATGACTTTTTTCCCTCCTTTTTCTAGATAAGTTGTCCACAATTTGCCGACCAGTCCCAGATCTAGATCTAGAAGTCTACACCAAGTTGCAATTGTTACCAGTGTAGGTCTAGATCTAGGCGTCTTAATTCGATCAGGTTTAAAAGAAAAGTACTCATAATATTAATAGTCTTTTTTATTTCTTCTAGTAGTTAAATAAGGAATCAAGCACAAACTGACGAGACAGTCTTGGACGAAGCAGCCATGTTCTATTCTCATGACATTCTGCAGAAGAGAGGGGGCAAGTTTGGCATCATTTGGTTAGTATTAGTTTATTAAGCCTAGACCTAATCTTAATCGCTGACCGCTGACAAGTAGCACAAAACAAAATCATAAATTGATCTTCATTGCAACATTTTGGCTCTCTTTTGTAAAACCTGTAACAACTGCTACAATTCTATATACTTTTCCAGAGCCAATCAAATACCTGGATTACAGTACTTGGCTTAATGTACATCAGTCCTTGTTATCTAAAAGATTTTTTTTTTAAATAGCTGGGGAGGGGGAGTTTTTTTACTTTATAACTATTTGAAAACTTCAAGTAACTCGAGTATTATGTCTACATCTAACTTAGACCGAAAGCTTCAGTCTCTATACCGTCGGTTGTTCCACTGAGACTACGTCTGGCTCCACTAGACCTCCGGTTATAGAGACTGAACGACTGCCTATGCCAGCCTGTGTTGAACTTATTCCGCTAGATTTTAGCCGCTAGGCCCCTCCCACAAACTTGCCACGGCCGTATTGTTATGCCCCCAAAATCCCCCAAAATGTCATTTTACCTCGTCCATATCCAATTTTAAATTAGGCCTAGGCTATAATACATCGGTTCCACTTACTAATTTGATGTAAATAATCCGTTTAATGGTCCCTTTTAAGGAAATTATGGGTCAAAATCGACATCCATGTTGAAAATCTTGCAAGCCGTCCGTTAAACTCTCGCTGCCGTCAATCTCATCCCTTCTAGTCTACGCCGAAGGCAAAATGATAATGAAGGAAAAACTGTGCGCCATCTACACGTTCGTAATGGCGTTATCACAGTTTTTTTCCTTCATAATCATTTTGCCTTCGGCGTAGACTAGAAGGGATGAGATTGACGGCAACGAGAGTTTAACGGACGGCTTGCAAGATTTTCAACATGGATGTCGATTTTGACCCATAATTTCCTTAAAAGGGACCATTAAACGGATTATTTACATCAAATTAGTAAGTGGAACCGATGTATTATAGCCTAGGCCTAATTTAAAATTGGATATGGACGAGGTAAAATGACATTTTGGGGGATTTTGGGGGCATAACAATACGGCCGTGGCAAGTTTGTGGGAGGGGCCTAGCGGCTAAAATCTAGCGGAATAAGTTCAACACAGGCTGGCATAGGCAGTCGTTCTGTCTCTATAACCGGAGGTCTAGTGGAGCCAGACGTAGTCTCAGTGGAACAACCGACGATTATAGAGACTGAAGCTTTCGGTCTACATCTAACTTAGAACTATTTGAAGTCTTCAGGAAATTCATGTAATATGTTTACATCTAACTAAGATCTTTCGTTGCCCATGAATTTCAATAGCTTGTCCACTTTCATGTTAATGTATTTTGCTCTTATTCAGATGCAAGTCTAGCTTAATCTTTATTGTTTTGCAGTAACAGTACCATTAACAATTCTTAATGTAAGCTCTCCTTTATTAACCCATTCACTACCTTTTCCATCTCTCTTTCCTGTTTATCTCCACTCTTTTGATTACTATGCCCCTAGCAACTACTCTTGTCTCTATTTAGGTCCTGTCTTTTTTGTCTCCTCTTTTCTCTCTTTGGTCACCTCGTCTTGTTTTGCAAGATGCTGGAATTTGGATTTAGATCTTTTCACCTCCAGATTTTGCATGCATGATTTTTACTCTTAGGATCCATTTGATTTGTTCATGTTTATTTATTTATTTATTTTATTCATTTATTTTATTTATTAAATTAAATCATTCATTTATTTATTTTGTATGATCCTTAAAGATCATTTCTTTTGCACTTGGAAAATAAAATAAATAGACTGCAGAACAAACAAACAAAACCCTAAGACTTGCTTCTTTCGGATGTACAGGCATTATTGTCCCTTAACCCCCCCCCCCCCCCCCCCCCCCCACTTAAAAGAATCAGTCTTAGGTTTTCTTCCTTTCTTTTTCTACATAAATTTAGGATTGCAGCTACAAAGGGGGTGGCTTTGAGCAAGAGAGATTATTGCAGCGTATGTGTTCCAAAATCATGGTAAATATGAATTCATAAAACTCAAGCTCTTGAAGTGGTACAAGTGATTATAATGAATGTATATCTATATCTTATTCAAAGGGTCTTAAGTTTACGTAGTCTTATTATTTGAAGTTTTACAAAAAAAAATGTTTTGTGGTAAATAAGAATACCAGTCATTGGAGTGAGGTGCTACTTCTTGTTTTAACACATATTACACAGAAAATCATTAAAATGGTACACTGAAATAGTTTTAATCATGCTAAGTTCATTTCTATGTATAATGAGCCTCTATTTCCATGGTTAAGTGTGATGTCTATAATGGTTGACTGGGAATAGCAAAGTGGAACATTTTCCTTGTCAAGAGAAAAATGATATCTCCTGCTAAATGTGTAGGTTTGCTACCAATTTGATGAATATGTGTGATGTGTAATCAACACATGACATTACAAAGAACTACAAGAAACATACACACATTAAGTTATGTGTCATGCAGATAAAGACATAATGAGCATATGGTTCAATATTGAATGTTTATATTTTCTCTAATCGTGACCGTTCTCATCCTAATTTAAGCGATGACATCGTCAAGTACATCACCTTAGAAGCTATGCCCGTCAGTCGGAAAGGTTCTCGTCCTCGCTTCTCTCTCTACCTGTCGTCTCAACTGATGGTTGGTGTAGCGAGGGTCTTTGAGAAGCAAGTCAACTATTTCATTGGTTAGTTTTCACCAATTTTAACTCTAAGACTTACGCAATTTCAACTTAAGTCTCATTGCTTGTGATTTTAAAGTGTATTGAAGTGTTTGAAAGTATCATACGAGCACTTACCACTGAAAATTTTGTAGGACTTTCTTGAATGTTATTATTCCTACAAAGTTTACTCATATTGTTCTCCTCTTTTTATAAATTTATAAATATTTTGTCACTGTTTTATCCTTCACTTGTAGGTGTTGTGATTTTGCCTCCTTTTAATTTTCGTTTATGCTTCATTACTGATATTGAACAGATTTAGGTGTTTTTTATCTTACCACATGCTTTAAAAACAGATGGCTACCTCATGATAAATGACATGCCAATAAATATCACTTACATCTACATATAGACCCAGCTATATACATGTTCATTTTCATTCTTCATCAAGGTGGAAAAAGGGGTTATTTTGCATTCATATAAAAGAGATTTTATGATTGATCCTCCTTATTTTTTCCCAGTTGATGTCAATGAGCTCCATAAGCGAACCACAGGATTCAGGGCTTCAAGTTTTGATGATGTCTACACCAGCCACATTCAACTCAAGAAATCTACAAAGTAATTAACCAAGTGATTAATGTTGCCATGTAATGTCTGTTAGCACCAAATTGTGCTCAAAAGTTTTGCATTACATCAATATTGAGCTAAACTTCCATCTTTTTCTTTTTGAGTGGAAATGAGACATTCTTGTTCCATGGAAGATGAGAATATCAAAATCAACTAAAAAGAAAAAGCAAAGCTGAATATTGAAGAAGAAGAAAATCTTGAAGGCTTTATACTAAAGATTGATTTCAAACTTAGCACCACATAAAGTTTTAAGATTAAAAGAAGGATTTTTGTGAAATTATGCCTGACTGATTTGTTTTTTTCAATGGTGAAACAAAATCAAGCAAATTACCAGCTTGTCTGCTACTTTCATCATTGATGGTTGTGTTGGACTTTAACATCAAAACACAACATTATTTTAATTGTGTTTTTATAGATGCTTAGTTTAGATTTCAGGAACATCACCTAATAAATACCAATGCTGTATCTATTGATACATTTTCCTACCTTTTGTTATCTTTCCTCTGTAGGTCAGGAGATTTCTGTACCATGCCAGAGTCCAACATGTTCAACGATGAGGAGTTTGGTTTGATGAGAGGTAGTTGGGACCTCACCCCAGACCCTCTTCTACTTCCTCAAATTGTACGTTTTTTTTTTTTTTTTTGTCTTCTTCCAATAGTATGAATTAAATGTAGCAACTCTGTAATAATGTGTGGCACAACGAGAGGCCTGCTCAGGCCTGATGCTGTAAACCACCTCAATGGCCCCTGCAAAAGTTAACTTTTATATGAATAAAATGATGCAATTAAAGCTAAAAGATTGGGGGCAGGGGGGGGGCTGGTCAAAAAGCAGGGCTACGCACAATGAACCCAATTGATATTTGCTGATATGTCAAAGTTATTAGGTACAGAAATTGTTTCATTTTACCTTGCCATGGCATTTTTAAGCAGGTTACTGTCTCATATATCTAAGCAGGCCTCACAGATAATTTGCAGTAGTGGTAGGAAAATATGGAAATGAGAAGGAAAAGTGCTAAATGTAAATTGTTCTAAATTTATTACAAGAATTGTACCATTTGTATTAATAGATAATTATGTGCTCATTTTATATGCTAAATATTTAGATATTCCATTAATTTCTTAGGTCTTTTGGATAGACCTGACCTGCTCTTCAATTTTGGTTACCCATTTACTTTACAGGAGATGTTCTCTGTGAGTCCATACAGAACAGCCAAGCTATCTACGTCATTGCTAGAGCTTAGTCCAACTCAGATGGACAAATTAGGTCAGTCCATTTCTTGACCCCATGACACTTTAGGACGTTATGTATCATCTGCAATGGAGTTAGAGTTTATGACTTCAGTTTTTTGCCAGTTTCTTCTGAATAACATGAATTACATATGATTATTATATTTGATTTACCATGTTAATTCACAATGCTTATCTTCAGAAATATGAACCTTTAGAAAATTCACATATAATCAATTATAAGAATTTTAAAGAAATTATTGAAAAATATTGCTTAATTCAGATGATATGTGCAGGCCTCTGCATGGCTGCTAATGTGATATGATAGGGTCATTCCATGTCAAATCACCCAATGGTTTTAACCCGACCATTTTTGATTTTGATGAAACTTAGTGTACTTGTTGAGTGTGATCTCACAGCACCGAATCCAAAATTTTAGGTCAATCGGATAAGGGGTTTGGGAGATACGGCCCACCAAATTTTGAGATTTTTTCAAAAATGGGGGTGGCGGGCCTACCTTTGAACCCTTGTATTTCGGGACCTAATGGGTCAATCTTCACAAAATTTTTATTGTTGGAAAGGGTATTCAATAAGGATTCCAAATCTGCCGCCATTTTGAAAATTTGTACATGTTGGGGTACTTTGACCTCTTGACCTAAGATTTGACCTTGTGGATCACGTGACCTTGACAACATTTTTCATGAAATGTAATCTCTGACATGTTCACTTAAACATATAAAAGTTTCAGAGATATAATATTTTTTGTTTAGGAGCAATAAGGATTGAAAGTATCCATACTTACAGATATTCACAATAAACCCTATCATAATGTATACAAGACATGCAATATGCACAGTATAACATACATCTTCCACATGCTTTTTTGTTCTAGGCATATCCATTCTAAATGTCAGCAGTACTTGAATAGAAAATAAAATGACAAGTTCATATAGGCCTAAAGGGTTAACAGGATGTATGGCTTTAGGCCTCTGAGTCGGTTCTAGGATAATTACCCCCCTGGAAAATTAACCCCCAGGAAAGGTCCCCCCCCCCCCCCCTGAGGACAATTACCCCCCGAGGACTATCACACCCAGAGGACAATTACCCCCCAGAAAATTACCTCCTAGGACAATCTGTCCCCCCCCCCCCCCCCCCCCCCCGAGGACAATTACCCCCTAGGACAATTACCCCCCCCCCCCCCCCTATTCATTAAAGGGGAAGTCCATCCTGATAATAAGTTGGTTTTAATCAAAGCAGATTTTTTTGGGGGGAGGTAATTATCCTTGAGGGGTAATTTTCCAGGGGGGGGGTAATTGTCCTCGGGGGGGGGGAGAAAGATTGTTCTAGGAGGTAATTTTCTGGGGTTAATTAACCTCTGGGTGTGATAGTCCTTGGGGTAATTGTCGGGTAATTGTCCTGGGGGGGGGGGGTGAACATTTCCTGGGGGTTATTTTTCCAGGGGGGTAATTATCCTAGAACCGACTCAGAGGCCTAAAGCCATACATCCTGTTAACCCTTTAGGCCTATATGAACTTGTCATTTTATTTCTATTCAAGTACTGCTGACATTTAGAATGGATATGACTAGAACAAAGAAGCATGTGGAAGATGTATGTTGTACTGTGCATATTGCATGTATTGTATACATTATAATAGGGTTTATTGTGAATATCTGTAAGTATGGATACTTTCAATCCTTATTGCTCCTAAACAAAAAATATTATATCTCTGAAACTTTTATATGTTTAAGTGAACATGTCAGAGATTACATTTCATGAAAAATGTTGGCAAGGTCACGTGATCCACAAGGTCAATTTCAAGGTCAAATCTTAGGTCAAGAGGTCAAAGTACCCCAACATGTACAAATTTTCAAAATGGCAGCAGATTTGGAATCCTTATTGAATACCCTTTCCAGCACTACAAATTTTGTGAAGATTGACCCATTAGATCCCGAGATACAAGGGTTCAAAGGTAGGCCCGCCACCCCCATTTTTGAAAAAATCTCAAAATTTGGTTGGCCGTATCTCCCAAACCCCTCACCCAATAGACCAGTTCACGGTTAGCACATGGCTGCAATGACCCCGAATATCCACAGATCTTCAAAACATGAAGAGGTCCCACTTTGTACATTTTGAAATTATCACTCCTACAGCGATGGAGATGCTGCATACTTAGCCTTTGTTTCCCCTTTTCAAAGAATACTTCCACCTGTGTATCATGGAGTGCTCTGCTTGTGCATAAATGAATAATGATTACATAACTTTCATGAGCACGTATCCAGTATTCCGTCTCCGTGTATTTCACAATTTGTTCTGCAATGACCTTGATCTGCTCATGCTCAGACTGCAACCGTGAACTGGCTTATTGACCTAAAATTTTGGATTTGGTGCTGTGAGATCACACTCAACAAGTACACTAAGTTTCATCAAAATCAAAAATGGTCGGGTTAAGATTTTCAGATTTTTTGGGTGATTTGACATGGAATGACCCGATAGATTAATTCAATCGTTTTCTTGTGGCAATGAAAATGCTTCGAGTTCCCTTTATGATATTTAATGTAATTGGAGTAATTACTTGGTATAGCCAAGCTACATTGTATGATTGGTATATTACATTCGTTTAATGTGACCTGCACGCAGGGTTCATTATCAAATACGGTATCTTTGTATTTACAACCTCCTGAAAAATCTAGCTCTTTCAAAAAAATTCTGAGATCTTGCATTCAGTTTTACTTCTAGCCATATTTCTTGAATTGTCACTCTTTAAAAAACCCCATTCTAGTTATTTTTTTCCTTTGATTGATGTTCTTTTTCTTTCTTTTCCGACATTTTGTTGTTAGTACTTGAGAGTCCACCACATCTAGTATCCAGTGCATCAGAGATCAGTCTCAGAGATGAAGTGTCGCATAATGAAGAAATGCAGGTATGTAGGATAGCTACAAATTCATCAGAAACTGTTTGCTTTGCCGTTTTCAGCGTGTAATGTAACTTTGATTATTAGGTGAAATTGTCTGTTGGGAAATGTGCAGTTGAATTGCCTGATTGATAATGAGCAGTCACAGAATACATAGTACATGTAATATTTTTTTAAATTTTGTTTGCAATGCTGTTTTAATGTCCCTGTAATCAAGTTCCTGTTCTTGTATTTTGAGAAGCTACTGTTTTGTCAATTACTCATTTCATAGGCATGTATGTGTCTCCCACTTAAGATTACATTGTAACTTTTGTGATAAATCAACCTTTATCTGGTTATCAAATACGCTTCAAAGGTTTTAGATAAAGATATGACTTGCATTTAACTAAAGACTGTCATCATCTTCTAAATCTATGTCTCAACATTCGCCTTGAATTTTAAAGAGGGGCTATTCATGACATCAAATCTTCATTGCAAAACATCAGAGTACAAACATGCTTCGGGACATCCTATGCTCTCAATCAATATAGTTTTGCTGTCTGCTGGAAAATTTGTATTAAAGCCCCACTGCACAACTTGTATCTACTTGCGCCCTCTATATAGCAAACAATGCCTAATCGGTGCCTGTTGGTCCCCCATGACCCTCTTTTTCTTATGTTAATCGAGAGCTGATTTGATGAGGTAGCCACCTGTTAGTGACCTTGCAGGGAGGTCTAATCCCCCCCCCCCCTCTGGCCAATCTAGTACAGACGGGCTTCAACTATTTATATAAATATTTTGTTTAGATCCCTGAGGTGGAGTTGCCCCCTTTGGAAGGCATCGATGATGACCTCATGACGACCATCTATGAAGAGATGGCCATTGCTGAAGAGATGAAGGAGAATGAAGAGAAAGACAACCTCTCTCAGATCAGCAGTTTCTGGTATGGACTTAGAAATATTTAGGAGTAGAGTGTATTTTGATCTGACTCAGTTTTGAACTAAAATTGGGCACGGTTCCATTTCTTTAATTTTAATGTTGTTGTTTGTTTTTTTGGACATAGTTCAAACCTACCTGAATAAAAAAAAAAGGGAAAATGGAAACTTTGATGGTGTCATTAAAGGCAGAAGTTTCTCTATAAGTTATGTTTATTCACCAATGCACACTGCACTTTCACAAAAAATATCTATTAATATGCATGAGGTAGATGTAGTTTCATAACAGTACTCATGAAAATGTCAAGATGGTCATCTGTCTTGAGCCAAAGTGAGTGTGGTGACATTTGTTTTGTATTATTTATTCCATAAGGTACATAGGGGGCAGAATAAGTTGTTAATTTATCAAAGTATTAGTTCCTGTATGAATAATCTTTAATCAAACTCCTTTAAATAGTTAACATTTGACCAATGTGATTTGATGTACAGTACATCAAATGGTGTGAAAATGGAAAAGTATGTTTGAGATGACTCCAAATGGTCGTTTTGCCTAAATGTTAGCTTTATCAGATTATCTAATTTTTCCAGCATTTATATATCTTAAACTAAAATATGTATACTGTAGTTAACGATTGATTGATGTGTTTTAATGTACAAAAGCCCCATGACATCAAATTCGAGTGTTTTTACATCTCCTATAGACAGCATCAAATTCCTCATAAAATTGAAAATCTACCTACAAAAACAGTTTTGTGCTAGCGGTGCACTTAGTAAATATTTGATTGATGTGTTTTCAGGTCTAGAACCTCCTGTAAGTTATAGCAGAAATATCAAGTTAACATCTCAAGTAGATAGCATCCAATTCCTTATGATAACAAACATAAACAACATTGAGAAATCTTACCATTGCAAATTTGGTTGCCTTTCCATTAATGTACATAGTAAATGTTTGATTGATGTGACTTCATGTATGCGTATAGGAGTCCTTCTTGGGTAAAAGTAGAACTATGTTAACATCTTAGGCAGATAGCATCAAATTTCTTATGACAAAGAATAACACCTTGCACTTACAGAAAACCTGAAGATGGCTGGTATTCTTAATTTTAAGCTTCCTAACTTCAGTCCAGGTTTTAGTGGGTTGATTAAGTAAGCTTATTTATGGAGCATCAAGCATTGACATCCTGTCGTAAAAATGTCTGAATGAATAAAGACCATGTCAAAGTGAAATGTATTGTCTCATTTTCATTTCATTAAAAAAAAAAAAAATTATTTTTTTTTTTTTTTTGTTAATAAAAATTCAACACCTTCAGAATGTATTGATTTGTAAAGAATAAAGAGCTTGGCACTTGGTGCTCTATATATCAGTGGACTATTAAAGTTAAATAAGGTTTAACTTCGTCCATCTTTGTGAACACTGACCTATATATGTTATCATTTTGATCTTCAGCCTTGACCAGCTATGGGAAGTGGACCAGCGTACGGGTCAGCTCATCCTCTCTCCATCCCCCAAGGGGACCGTGTTCCAGCCCCGTCACTCGTCCTCCCCCCATCGATCCCTCCTCCTAGACCAGCTCTCCCCCATACCTTCCCAGGAGGAACTCCTCCCCTCACCCACCGGGCCAGGGGTGCAGGATGGGGTGCCGATGGTGGAAGACATCGATCTTGAGTTTGAAGGGGCAGAGCTTGCAGAGGTGGCTCCTCCTTCCAAGAAGCCAAGCTCCAATGGGATGGAGACACCAGGAACTGGTCCAGTAGGTTTCTTGATTTGAAAGTCTTAACCTGCAGTCTAATTATCAAAATTACTTGGATATCAAGTGTTTAAACAATTTACCTTGCAATTCTTCTTTGGACATTCATAGTACAACATCAATTTGCCCTCAAATTTTCAGGATTTACCTATGGGTCTTAGAGGTGATTATGGAAAATGAGAGAGTACTTAAGTTTTAATTAGTATACTCGGGATCAGGATTACTTTTAAACTTGTAAGTCTACAATAACTCTCATAAGGCAATTTGCTTTGTAAGTGTTATTGATGGTTAGTATGCCACGATTCAACAAGAGAAATAGATCGTATGACTATACAGAAAAGTGCCTAATTTTTAACAATCTTCTTAAGGATTATCAAAGTAAAAAATCATCTTTGGATCTTTTGCAAGCAATAGGGGAAAAAAAGACCCAATCTATTAAAAACTATATCTTTGTCTGAAGGTGATGCTGAACATCTTGAGACTGTCTCCCATCGATTCCGCTTCCCCAACCCCTGTCCCTCGAAGAGGTCGTAAGAGACGTCTTGTGTTTGCTGATGACTCCACCCAGCTGAGTAAGAAGGACATACGTCACAACATGGAAACTGTGGGGGAACTTGCCCGCAAGGAGGTGAGAACAGTGAAAGTAGGGTATTACGAGCTTGTTCAAGTCCTGATAAGTTGCACTGAGGGATGTTCGCTGATAGGTTTTCAGCCTAATGTGAAAGGATTATTCAAAAGTTAAATCTGCTCTGATAAACTCCCCTCTTTCTGTCCGTCTGTCTCTCTTTCTCTCTCTCTCTCTTTTCCATAGTGTGTTTTTCTCTCTCCCCTTCTCTTTCTATCACACACACTTATTTCTACCTTTTCTTTTTATCTTTCTGGATGTCAGTATGTAAGAGGTTTCTCTCCTTCCCTTTTTTTTTATTGCTGTTTGTGTTTGTTTAGTCTGTTCTTCTTTTTTCTTTTTTTCTTTTTTCGGGGGTGGGGGTTGAACCAGGGAAACAATCTAAAATTCCAAAATAGATAACATGTGTCTTAATCACTTTTCTTTTGTTTGCTTGAATCTTGCAGACTTTCATATCACCCAGTCACCCATCTGCCAAGGAACTGTTTGAAGAACCAGCAAGAAAAGGTATCTTTCAGGGGTTAGGTTTTTTTTCCCTTACATTCTTACCTTTTTTTTTAATGGAAGAACTTGGCAACCACCCTTTTAATGAATTAATCAGAGCAAACTTTGCATGCCACAGAACTGGCCTCTTGATCACTATCCGAAACAGGCTCCATCTGTCAATGTTTTTATTGTTGATGTACACTTGTATTGTGTTTAAACAAAATCTAGCTGATAACCCAAGTCCAAATTGAATGGAAGTATTGGCAAGGGTTCTTCCAAGAAGCTCTTATAAACATTACAAAACTCTTTTCATTCATAATATATAGCTCTGTAAGAGAACAACACTCTATACGACCTATGAAAGAACCAATCAGAACTGACGATAATTTCTACAGATCCAAGGATCTATATGATAACCCAAATCTAACTTTCTGACCCTACAAATCTCCTCATTTGCATAGCTTTCAAGGAGAAAAGCACCTCTTTACATATGAACGAACTATTCCGAGTTGAGGATAACCACTACAGATCCTAAGGCAGAGAATCCATGCACTACATAATAACCTGGGGCCCATTTCATGAAACTTGTTATCTATTTAACAACTGCTAAATTTCTTTGACAAATTTGCCATGATTTCAGTAGCTTGTAACTTGTTATTGAAAACAAGTTTTATGAAACAGGGCCCTGAGTCCATATTGGATTGACTGATGAGTAAAAGAGCTCTCACACTATAGCATTTTCTTCATTCTTGTAGCTTTGAAGAAGACCAACGTCCTATACAAGCTATGGAAGAATCACTCTGCGCTTAGGACAGTCACTACAGACCCTGAGGCAGATGATATAGACGCACCTGCTTGGAGCACCGCGTACATGAGACCAAGACCGCCCATGCCAGGATCATCCTCGGATACCACCAGCAAAGAAGGACAGGAGGAGGAGGAGGAAGATGAGAGGGCTTTACTGCTCAAGGAAATACCAGAGGTTAGCCAAGTGAACATTCAAGTGTAATGATTTGAAGGTCGATATCAATCAATTATAGTATTAGTTGGATCATCATCAGCATTCAGCATTTTCCCTTTTATGAGGGGTTACTGACTTTTGCTCCATGATGACACTCCCTCCGCTTTGTAAATTATCAGAATCTCATATTTTATGAAATATTTATACATTTTTGAGAGGATTTTGTGCAAAAAAAATCAATGCAATTTTAGTTCATTTTTTCAGCTTTGGATGATGGAAGATTTCTTTTTTTCTTTTTGTATTGTGGGCATACATTTACAATTCTTTGACTGAATTGGAAAAAAAGGGAATTTTTAAAGGGCAAGCTAAAAATGGAATGAGCATCTGATGCCACAGTTTTGCTTTGTTCACTGAATAAACTTTGTATTTTAACTTTGTTACATATTAGGTCCTGCGCCATGAAATCTCAGTGAGCCCGGAGCGCCTGAGAGACATCTCCCTGGAAACGAGCCAGCCCAGGACCAAGTTTGAAGACACTCCCCATTCCCTCATTGTCTCGGGTAAATAACAGATCCTTTACATTTACTAGATAGAGACATCTTGTCCCATGTTCTTGAAGGAGGTTTAAGTTAATCTTGGCTTAGCTTAGTCTTTTGATTTATAGAAGGCCTAAGATCAGGCCTTAATTTCTATACACAGTACATTACTTTAATTATGTGAGATGAAGTGAGAAAAAAAATAGATTAAATTTTGTTATGAAGTGAAAATGATCATTACTGTACAGGATGATGAGCCTTACTTTTGACACCATAGATTAAAACTAAATATATGCACTGAGAGGGTTTCTCCTCCTTTTTCTTTTTTTTTAATTTCCTTTCATTACTATCAAAATGTCAGATGATACAATTTCGCTAAAATATCTACATGCTCTTCTCTCCTTGTAATGCACTTTCTTTAAATTCACTTTCTTACATTAATATATTTTGTTTCTTTATCTTGTCCTCTGTTTCTTCCTTTCCTTGTCTGTCTTTCAAACCTCCCTGTGTGTATCTTTCATGACGTCCTTTTGCCTTTCCTCCCTACCTGACATTATTTTGACTTTTTTTTTTATTACTCTTATGTTTTTCTCTTCTTTCTCCAGATGCGAGTCATCTATCTGAATCCAAGGACAGTTCTCGCGTGAAGAGTTTCCACTCTGATCCCCCAACAGCACATAGGTAAATTGAAGTCTCATCTCATCTCATCGACTACTAAATTTAACAGTACCTTAACATTAAGACAATAATTCTTCTGTTTGCTTGCTAGCATGAACCGAGTAAAGATCATGGGTATTTATCAACCATATAATTCCAAAAGTGATGACTGTATCATATGTATTAATGGCTTGAAGTGATTAATTTCTCCAGTGGGGCTGAAATACGGTTCAACTACCAAACATTGACTTTCCAACTGTACATATTTTTCACATGTTTTACCGTCCCTCCGTCCTGCAGGAGCTTGCACCGCCCCACTGGAGACAGCTTCAAGGAGATGGAAGAGGCCATCCAAGAGGAACTAATGGACATCAGGGAGCTCCCATTGTTACCAGAGGAGGATATCATGATGGATCAGCTTGAGGAGCAGCTGGAGGAGCCTGCTGTACCGTCCGCACCCGAGATGATAAGCACCTCGGAAGATGAGGAGATGAGAAAGGCAAAAAAGAAGACGAAGACGCAAACAGAGACGACTGTTCCTCAAGACAATATCCTTAAGTAAGAAAGAAATATGTTTTGAGAGCACTCAACTCTCAAATACAGTTCGCGATGGGGGAACAGGGTCATTGTTCATATTTCTGGACAGGTAGTTTGTATTACGATTTAATACTACATTGCTCTAATTTAATGTAATGTCTCTGAAAATATTTCATTTATATAGCTTTTGTTGAAAAATCTTTCAAATTGCCAATTTGGTCTAAACACACTGATTTTTTTACCTCTCAACATGTGCTTGGTAGTTTAGTTTAAAAACTTATTTTCCTTTAAAAATTTCTGGCATCAAATGCAATATAATCATTCCACGAAAATGGATATAATGAGAGCCAAAAAAATTGCCCTTTCTACTAATGATCTCGTATATTTTAGGGCTCTAAATCAACAGTTATTTGGCTAACCCACGAAACTGTGGAGAGGGTTATATCCTACAGTATTTGCCTTTTGGAGGGAAATCCCACCCAAGAAGACATTGATGAATTATTTGTTCTTTCATCCGGAAACAAACACCAACACGTTTATTTTGAAAGACTTTTCTTTGAAAATATATTGCATATCCGATCCAACTCTAAATTTATTTTAAAAATATTAAAAACTAGACCTGATCTAACAACAATAAATAAAACTAGAAATGCAATCGTGTCACAACGATGTGCGTGCAATGACGCCGTGTTTCTACGTGTCAAACGAAAGAGCTTCTCTCGGACTATCCAGAGCAATTTGTACGAAGTCTGTAGCTTCTGTCATACTGGAGATAGGTAGGGCGAAAGAAAGGCCTCAACAGGGACTTTGATGGGATGGTAGTGGCTATGTCTACGAAGCTTGAAAGAAATTGGGATAGGGGAACCTAGAAAGGGCTCGCAAGCACTGCGTGTAAAAACCAATGGGATTTGGTGCATGTTCGTCATTGCAATAAAGATCGTTCTGGGGGCCAAAAGCATGAACCTGATATGCCCCATAGACAATGCGTGTAATGCATGGGCGGAAAACGTCCAAGATCTGTATTATGACCGGAGTTAAATTGTTTTTTCTCTCTCTCTTTATGTCTCTTTATGGGCCGTATTTGGTATCATTAGAAAGAGAATTTCATGGTTGATATTGTAAACCACTCTCTTTTTTTCTATGATAATCCTATCGAAACACATGATGTAAAATAGATTTATAGAACAAAATGGCGTCTTGAATGGCCCCCTTGACCAATTTCAAAAATCCGGCCAAGAGGTGCCCTGCGTACTGGAACTCGGCATGTCACTGCAAATTTTCAAGGAAAAAAAAGGACGTTTAAGGGGCAAAAAGTAGTCTGAAAAATTACGTCATAGCCGATACGTGTTAGATTCGGGCGGAAACTCGGCTGAATTCGTGTAGTGACCTTTGTTCAAATGCGATTTATTCACAATTTTCTGTGTGAACATATACTATACTTGGTATCATTCGAAAGGGCACTTCATTGCGGTCAGTTTGACACCATTGTTATCTTCGCGCAATGTATTGCACGCATTAAACGCGCTATTACGTAATGCATAGTAAATTCATCATTTTTGGCGATAACTTTGCGCTGACATATTTGGATTTTACCAAACTTGGCAGACAGTTGTCACGTATATGGATACATATGTCTGCCAAATTTCATTGACGTAGGTATACAGATCGCCATTTTAGAGCAATTTGAAGTTATTTCTCAATTTTTTTGAAAATGGCGAATTTGGAGGGCATTTTTCGCAAAGTCGGTCAGTGTTAGGGTATATAATTTTGTATATGGCTAGAAAGGGCATATCCTCAAGTATCTAAATCCAAAAAAGGGTACGGATCTGCCAAGCCATAATGGAGATACGGCCACAGAAAGAAAGCCAATTCCCAGAACTTTAGAGGGCGCTATTTATGTTTTGCAAAGCCACTGGAGCGTGAAATTTTGCATGGCTATGTGCAATTATGAGATAAAGATACTGTAAGATTTATATACGAAACTGAATTTATATGAGAAAGTTATGGCAGTTTTAGATTATTTAGGGGTCCATTTTTCAAGAATTTGAGAGATTGTTGACGGAGTCGGTTTCAGATTTGAATTTTGAGTATGAAGATGGCATTTTGAAGGGCAGGTTATAAGTAGCAGATTAAAGAACATCTCTTAGACTATCTAGAGAAATTTGTTAGAAGTTTGTAGGATCTAGGATAGTGGAGATAGGAAGGAAGATAGAAAGGCCTTAAAATGGACCAGAAAAGGACAAAATGGCGCCTGGACGTTTACGCATGAGTGATTTCAGAAAACGAAAAAGTAGGTGACCTGGATGAGATGATAGAGATGAGGCCTACGGAATTTGAAAGGAAATGGACATGATGAAGGCACCTAACTAGGAATAACAAACACTATGTGCAAAACGAATGTGATTTCCGGACGATAAGGAAAACAAGGAAAAGGAGGAGGAGAATATTAATGGGGCAGAATGTGAACGAAAACAAGGCAATGACGAAGGTTCGTCATTGCAATTAGTCACTTCAACTGTTTAGTGTAAAGTGTAATGCATGGTTCCAGGGACCTGTTTCACAAAGCCTTTTTTCAATGACAAATGACAAATATCAGTGACAAATCTGCTGATAACCAATCAGAAGCAAGGATTTCAGTAGCTTATAACAACAACTGTCATTTGACACTGATGACAAGTTTTGTGAAACACCCTCCTGGTTTGTGAGACCCACTGGAAGAGAGAGACTTTCTACAAACCTCAACATTTCAGGCTGTATTTGTCACCTTATTCATAAAACCAATTGTGAAGCCAAAAAGGAAAACTGTTGCATCTTTTCTTTATATGTAAGACCACTTTTTGTTTCTCAATCACATAGGGGCATTGGTGTGCTTACAGAAGAAGTAGACTCGATCAGCTTCAAAGATCTGGTCCCACCGAGGACGTACAGATCAGTCGCAGTCAAGATCTTTTCCGTCTGTTTGGGTAAGTTATGACTGTAAAAGAAAAACGGTTCTACGACACAATTAACCTGTGTTTGCAACAGTTGCTATGTGGTAAATCTTCCTCACTAGTGATGATGATGATGATGATGATGATGGCTTCTTATGTAGTTCCCATGTCCATCGTGCCGTGAGGCTCCTGGCACTCCAGCATTATTACCCTGTGAGGTTGTTTCACAAAGACTAAGATCGACTTTAAGTTGGAATTATCTATGGCAGACCATTCATGCCACTGTTTGCTCTCATCAGTTACTGGCATTGGTCTCTCAAGAGACGTACAATTTGTGGTCACAAATCTAAAGAATTTACATTTGGTGATAATTCACTATTGAAGGAAACGATAGTATCTAAAGATCATAATGGTGAGAGCAACCAGTGGCATAAATGGCCTGCCATAGTTAAGTCCAACTTAAAGGTGATCTTAGTCTTTGTGGAAACACCCACCTGGTCTATCAAGTTCCTAACTACAACCCTGAACCTTTCCCTACAGCTAACCCTTACCCTATGGTTAGCTGCAAACCTGATCTCAATCCTATCCCAACCATAGTTCCTTGACAAAATGAAGCCAGGAGCATAATGTCGGATCTCCTAAAAGACCCATTCTATTCTAAGTTGAATTTTTCTACTATCATTTATGTAAGAGCTCCCTCTCCAAGGGACTTTGTAATGAGGATTAATGCCTTTAATACCAAAGGCCACTACATCGACTTGGTTTTGAACTCGGGACCTCCCAGTTACGAGACCACTGCTCTTCTACTGAACAACTGTGCCTCCTGTTTCTTATAGATTACACAATCTTTTGCTTGCTTTTATCTCGTTGCAGAATATGCTGCCATGCGACTGATCACATTAACTCAGGACAGACCTTTTGGAGACATCTATATCCAGAGAGGACCAAACTTTGATTAAGTGGACCAATAAAAACTAGGTACTTGGCGGACTCGACTCAACTGCTATAAATCAAAAGTGCCTATTTACCTTGCAAGAAAGTTTGTGTGTGATGAAGATAGGAACATTGCTGATACAAGAGCAAAATTCAGTATCATTCTGTAAACTAGATATATTGTATGATGACAAAAGAGTATTTCTTTTGGTGTCGGCTTCAGATAAATCATTGTATTGATGCCGAATTAGAGACTGGTTTACTTCTGTATCAAAGTTACTTTTTCATGTCTTTACATGGTCATGAAAGTGATTGTATTACAGGTATTTATTTGTCAATGATTATAGGGAAAAGACAACAGTTATGTTTTCAAAGGTTCCTTCTGTAAAGAAAAACAGAAGATTTTATATAACTCTTAAGTCATAGATAATTACAATCCTGTGCCATTATTGCCTCCCTTGTTATCTTGCTATTCATAAATTTGTGTGCTGATGTGATGCGACAACTTTTCTCTTCTCATAAAACCAGGTATTCCATCATTTTGAATGTTTGCTCATAATATTTCGGCTTTTCAGGATTATACAGACTATAGCTATGTCTATGACTCATCAAAAGAATAAATTGAAGTCCCTATTATGGATTTGCAAGCCCTCTAAAACTTTTCTGTGGCAGCAAGATAAGTTTATAAAAGAATGTGCACAATTTCAGATCTCCGGAGAGAAAATTAAAGCCCTTTTTTTGTACACAACAAATAGGGCGAATAAATCACAGCCATTTGCAAGATTCAAAGTTAAAAGAAAAATGATTGGAATTTTGCCATCATACTTTCAAGACAGTTTTTCAATTGTGATATTTTTTTCAACATTTTGACCCTCTTACATGTTATGTGATTTTCACTATAATGCAAATCCTAGTTTAAGAAAACTCTGTAGAAAAGGAGAATAATTTCTTGTTAGCTAGACTTTGGATATACTCTCAAGCCGATAATATTATTGTCTCTTTATTGTTCTTTAATGGGGGTGGGGTGCAGTTGTCACCAGTCCCAGACAATTGTGTCAGAAAATTGTTTATTTTCATATTCTACCTTGAAACTCTGAATTTCTCTTTTCACAGTGCGTTTAGAAGTTATGAAATATTTTTATGCCTCCGTTACGAAGTAGCCGGAGGCATTATGTTTTCGGGTTGTCCGTCCGTCCGTCCGTACGTCCGTACGTCCGTCCGTACGTCCCGTTCTCGTGATCGCGTTATCTGAAGAACCGATTGACGGATTCCTGCCAAACTTTGGTCATGTATGTATCTTGCAGAGCCAATGAACTGATTAGATTTGGGGGTCACGAGGTCAAAGGTCAAAGGTCACAGGGCTCATTATGTATGCAAAAACAGCTCGTGATCGCGTTATCTGAAGAACCGATTGATGGATTCCTGCCAAACTTTGGTCATGTATGTATCTTGCAGAGCCAATGAACTGATTAGATTTTGGGGTCACAAGGTCAAAGGTCAAAGGTCATGCGGCTCATTATGTATGCAAAAATAGCTTGTGATCGCATTATCATTAGAACAGATTGATGGATTCCTGCCAAACTTAGATCATGTATGTATCTTGCAGAGCCAATGAACTGAGTAGATTCTTGGGTCATGAGGTCAAAGGTCAAAGGTCATGGGCTCATTATGTATGCAAAAATAGCTTGTGAATGCATTCTCATTAGAACTGACAGATGGATTACTATTTAACTCGGGACATCTTGCGGAGCCAATGAACTGAGTAGATGTTAGGGTCATGAGGTCAAAGATCAAAGGGTCATATATGTATATGAGAAATTGCTTGTAATCACGATATTCTGAGAACCTAGATTACAATTGAACTTGAATTTGAAAAATTTCTTCTGTTTTGGTTTGTAAATTGCTCTATGACGGAGGCATCATTTCGACTGCGCGCAGTCGAAGTTCCATCTAGTTGAATATGAATCACAAGCCCGCAGTGCTCTATTTATTGTTCAAAAAATAATCTGAATGTCAGTATGGAATAATTATAGAATGAGAAGATCTCGACAGTGCCAATTTGCTCTCAAAATTCTGAAAACTCTTCTTAAAACATCTGTAGAGGGGGGGTATTTTTAGTCTAGGAAATTGTGTTGATTATCTTGTAAGTTTTTTTTTCTGAAAGGTTTTTAAAAAAAACTTTTGCTTTACTTGTTTTACCATGTTTTGCCATGCTATTGCCAAATATATGTCATGTTTAATCTTTGATAACACAATATTTACTGTATAATTGTAAACAGCAAAGTGTTGAAAGTTCAAATGTCATCTTCATATTCATCTTGGTCACATTTTATGCCAAATTTGCCTGTATCATAAAGAGTAATTAATGAAATGTAAGAGTAATATATGTATTATTTATGAAAATAGTTAATACATATCAGATAAATCACTTTAAGATGGCTACAAGATTATAGTTTCAGCCTTTTCATCTTATGTGTATGTAATTTATTATCAGATTTGTAATATATAAATAATAGTTGCATAATTCAACACTTTGAAAGTGGATGTAATATTTGTTATTGATGGTATTCCAATTTCATTCAACCATGTATTTATCTCATTAACAAATGATTCTTGTTGAACCATGTGGATATTCTCTTTTCAAAATGTATATACCTATTGTGCCTATTTATCTCATTAAAAAATGATTCTTGTTGAACCATGTGGATATTCTCTTTTCAAAATGTATATACCTATTGTGCCTACATTCCAGCCACATTGAAATAAAGATTTTTTCCAAAGAATGTGGCCTGCTTCTTCATTATTTGAATTGAGAGAAAAAAGAAAGACATATAGAAGTAAGTTTTTCATTGCAAAATAAATGTCTTTTATTGTTAGCATTTTGTTTACATATCATGAAAATGGCTAATATGCACTGGAATTTTTCGCATTAATAATACCCTCCATTCTTGTCTGAGCGATTTTGATTTCATTTCTTCCACTTCTAAGAAACATTTGTGTACCTGAAAGAGAGCGAAAGCGTGGGTTCTTTTTGGCCCACATTTTTCGAAGTTCCTATAATAAAAATGTAATACTTAGTGTTCCAAATATATACAGTACATAAATACAACACTTTTTCTGTTTAAAACTTCACATCCTGCCCCGTTCTGCTCAGAATAGAAGTCAGTTTAAGGTCGAGAGTAAACATTAATAAAGCAGTTAAAACAAACGAGTATACGACCTCGTGGAATATAGATACTGTAAACAACTTATTCTGTCCATATCAAGAACTTAGTAAAAAAAAAAAAAAAAATACTTTGGTAGTTGATAATGAATATTTACTTTTTTTTTTTTTTTTTTTTGTATTGAAAATAAAACTCAACAACATCACATATTTACAATAATAACGTATCAATAAAGTAAATGGATGTATACAGAGCACAAAACAGCACAACAAAAATGCCTCACTCTATAGTCGTGTAAGAAAACCGAGACTGGACTCGTCAAGGAGAGGCTCCACTGAAATACAGTAATATTAACAATAGAATAACTTAATTGACAATAAGGAAGTATACAATTTATTAAATACCAAGGGACCAAAATTCTACAAGAAATAAAGTGACCATTTCCTAAAGTGGGAGCTCAATTTACCTTTCTTCTCTGCTGTTTTTTGTTTCATTTTTACAAAAGAAAGGGAACCCTGGAAATTTAATTCTACCTCTTGAGGCACAGGAATACAAAAATTAATACATACATCATGCCTGCCACCGATATCAATATGAGCGAACTCAAAGTACAGTGTTGTCTCCTTTGTCTTATTATCAATATAAGCTGCAAGCTTTTTCCACATTGGAGTAACTACTGTATTTACAAAATATATGAATCCAGGTTTCAGGAAGCTCCTGACAGAAATAACACAAAGGACTATCCCTTCTTCCAATTTTATATAAAAATGAGTTTAGGGCTATGGCATTATGAAACATTTTAAAATAAAAAGACCTTAACTGAGTTTCTATAGTGCATTTGAAATTATTTTTGTGTATAACAGACCATTCAATTTCATCTCTATCCAAACCAAGCCACTCTTCCCACTTATTACCAATCTTGGCCTGTAATGATTTATCTTTGTTACTTAGTAACGAATAAGCATAGCCAGGCACTATGTACAGGCACTTTCAACTTCCTATGCAAATCAAAAACAATTTTATCAAAATTATTATCATGAACATCGTGATGATCAACAGACCAATCTAAATATATTGCATTTATCAGGGAATCATACTTGCGTTGGTCAGTTATTGGGATATCAAATTCTACAACCAAGTCTTCAAAAGTTTTCACCATAATACAAATGAGAGACAAATATAATTCCTCTCTCATACCATGCATGATAATAAAGAATAAGGTCTATGCCTTAAACTCACACTTTTGTTATACCAAATATAATCCTGCGCATGCATAATTATGATAAGTATCTAAGTTCAATTCTCTTACAACTAAAACTGTATATATTCATAATAGTCTTTCAAAGTTTCAACCAAATGACAATGTTTCAAATTTTGCAGTATACTTAAAAGAACTTCTGGTTTCCAGAGCATGTATGGATCATCATGAAACAATAATATTTAAGCATTTCTATTTCTATGCGTTTCCAAGTTCTCACATAATCATCCAAAACATTTTTTACCCAAACTATTTTCTGTGATTTTGTAATGAATATTTACTTGAAAACGGAAATAGTTGTAACATAATTATGTCATATATTTCATCTTTACGAATGTGATTTATAGTTACTAATTTCCTGTTCTCTATGGTAGCGATTTATGATATAATTAATATTTTCGATAAATATCTCTTTTTTGCGTTACTCCTAAGACGCATAGAGTTAGATTGTACCAAATACATTATATAAACGATTAAGAATATCATCAAAATTGCAAAAGCAACGATGAATATTTATTTTTCATTGCGTTACTCCTATGACGCATAGAGTTAGATTGCATCAAATACATTATATAAACGATTAAAAGTATCATCATCATTGCAAAAGCAACGGTGAGTACAATCACGTACTTTTTTGTTGGATAAGTTTCTTCCTTAACTTCACCTTTAGTTGGTATTATTGCTCTCATATTTGAGGAAGTATGATCTTGATGATAGGAGGTGGTTAGGGGAGCAGTTGGCGCATGTGCGGTAGCTGGACACGGGTCTCCTGGGTTATGTACCTCGCCTTGGGATAAGGGGTCCCATACAGAGTCATTACAATCACATCTATCTTTGGGTTCTATCAGCTGGGAAGAGCAACAGTATACATGGTGGCGATTCTGTTGTACCAGAATGGTCTGTTGCAATGAGTTATCGTTTTCAGAAGGTGCATCTAATTGAGGCATCTGCGTTCCCCCTTGATAGCATTGAATCTGCCCTACCGACACACTCCCACGTGAAGCTTCGCAATGCAGCTTTATCCAGTCTCCTGTATAATCATTACTACCACCAAAACTACAATGTGCCACGCCGGGAAGAAAATCAACACTTAGACCAACCCTTGTGATGTAGTCTCCATTATATGTTAGGAGAATATATGTTCCCCCATCATCTCTCGTCACTGGATCTATCCTTAACTGGAGGAAACAGTGATCTTCTTCATTCGTTTTCTCAACTGTAAATCTTTCAGACTGGTCTGGATTCGATTCCAGAATAAATGGGTTTGCTGAATTGTGAAATGGAAGCCTGTTTCCATACTGCAATGTGATCTTTGTACTGATACATGGATAAGGGAATTGAAGCATAACTGACTCTCCCTCTCTGGCATTTGAAAACGAATCACATCTTATTGATCTTATTAAAGAAACAAAAATTATGAAAGCCCTAGGAAGGAAAGCTTCTTTAAACCGACACATAGTGTCTTATGTCAACACTAAAATAATGAAATAAGCACGCAATAGTGCCTGAAAAACATATACATATACATGTATAACTGGTCGGAAATAGGACAAGTAAAAAAGGCGCAAAAACTCTCTCGAGAAGTCCTTGGCAGTCAATTGAGATGATGACGGTGATGATGATAATAATCAGGATAGTGTTCTGTATAGTTTCTCTTCTTTCTCTGCATCTACTTTATACACGCGTCTTTTTTGTTTCGTAGAGATGAAA